TCCGCATATAAAATAAGAAATAAATTATATTATATTAATAAATTCAAACTAAACCATCTCAAAAAAAAAAAATAATAATTTAACGAATAAAAGTCAAACAAAAGTAAAAAATGATGATAAAAGATAATAAGATGAAAAGAGATTAAAAGAAGTTGGAATGGGGGGAAAAAAAAGGTAAAGAAGGTAAAGGAGAAAAATTGTAAGAGAAAGAAGATTAAATCAGACAAGGAAAAAAAGGAGAAATAGACAAATGGAGGGAAAAAAAAAGAAAAAAACTTGGAATAGAGAAAAAAAAATGAAATAAAAGAAAGAGGAAAAAAAAAATGTAAACCATGAGAAAAAAATGGAAATTTCACACGTGCAGGACAGTACGTTAAGTCCCTTTTGGATCCATTTAGAAATATATTAATGGAATTGCGTGCACTAATCGGTGGGTCACGTATATATATATATATAAAGGGTTTATTGATAAACGATAAATTCTGATAGTAAAATCAGCACGAGTCGAGAAAACCATTTGCACGATGGATATAACGACCAAAGTATGGTTCGCGAAAAAATCCTCTGAATGCAGAAAACGGGAGAAAAAAAAATGTCTGAATATATAAGGGAACAAAAGATCGGTGAGGGAGAAAAAAATACGCTGCAAAAGCCAAATATTTTTCAGCATATTCGTTAAAGATTCTCTACTATTATTACTATTATTATTATTACTATTATTATTATTATTATTATTTTTATTATTATTATTTTTATTATTATTATTATTATTATTATTATTATTATCATCGTTATTGTACATATTTTTATATGAAAAGTTTTTATGATTAAAAAATAATTATTAATTATTATTTAAATTTATTATATAAATTAAAATAGAATAAATTTTTGAGAAAATTTATCGCTAAACTCAATATAATCGCTAAAATAGTGTTAAATTACTGTTAATGTGCTTTTTAAACACAACTAAAATAGAAGGGGAGAAAAAAAAACTCGAAAGTGGTACCAGCGGTGGGACACAGTTCTTCATCACATAAAACTAAAAGTATAAACCTTTATATGGCACCTAAATTTTTTTAAATAAAAAAAATTATGAGGTACTTTTTTTTCCCCTGAAAGCGACAATATAACCTTTGGCTGTAAAAAAAAGAATATAGGGCACTTTAGTTTATTGTTTCCATTTTTAGAATATTTAAATTTTTCTAAATTACTCCATATCATATAAAGATATAGGAAACAATTTTTTTTTTTTTTTAAATTCAGTTTCAAAAAATATTTGCAAAAAATTGAAAAAATTCTACTTTTTTAGTTTCTTTTCTTCTTATTTGATTAATTTTTTTTTGTATTCACGCGGACAAAAATGAGGCTATCACAGTATTCTTAAATTGTATTAATAAATAATAAAATTACAAATAAATAAAATACAAGTCTAAAAAAAATAGAATACAAGTATAAAATTTTAAATATATTAAAATAATAATAAATAATTTATAATATTTTTTATTTAAATTTATTATTCATATTTAATTTTATTTATTATTAAAAAATAAATATTAATAATATAAAATATATTTTTATTTATAGAAATTTATAGCTATTAAAATAAGCTGCAACGCTTATTATTTTAATCCAATTTTGCATATTTTAATCCATTTTGGTATTAAAATAAGCCAAAAATAATACCAAAAATGGATTAAAATAAGCAAAATTGAATTAAAATAATAAGCGTTACAGCTTATTTTAATGCCTTTTAATTTTCTGTGAATCTATAAAAAAAAATATTTAAAAAAACCAATAAAAATTAATTCCCTATAAGAAAATACAGTTAAACCAAATTTTTGTCGAATTTCCCAATTAAAAAAAAAAAAAAAAAAAAAATCTTTTTTTTTTCTAAATTATTTGTTCAAAAAAAAAAAGGAAAGAAAAAGAAAAACATTGACACGCAACTATGACGAGAGAATTGGCTTCCAAAGGTTAAAAGCATCAGTTTTGTGTCGCCAGTGAGTCTGGTCGATATTGGGAGTTGAATTATCCCGTTGTATCTCATTGTCGGTGGATAATAAAGAAAGTCGGGGAAAAGTGCCTGAAGAAAAACCAATTAAGTGTTGCAGGGCGCGGCTAAGAAGCGAGTGCTTCGCGCTGTTGGAAAACGACTAGTGGCGTTCACACAGTTTGGTGGGATGAGTCTGGAAAATGGGACAGACGGGGTGTGAGGGGGGAGGGGGGGTTGAAGGGACGCTGGAATGGGAGGGGAGGGGGCTTCATCGATTTCTTACCCCGTGCCCCAGTAACGCTCTCTCTCACTCTCTCTCACTCTCTACCACCATAGGGTGTAACCACCTCTTGGGGAATTCAGATTTGAAATTTCTACCCCTTTTTAACGTCCATCATCATTATTTCAGTCTTCTCTCTTTTTTTTCCATCCAAACGCCAAAAAATTGACAATCACTCTAATCAAATAACAATTAAAAAATCAATTAAATTTTTTCATTATTATATTATTATTTCAGATAATACATTTGATTACTTTTTTAATTAACTTTTTTTTTCGAAACAAAAAAAAAAATTATTTTCAATATTTTTTCATATAATGGAAAAAAAAATTTATTTTATTCAAATAATCGGTTATTTGACTATCAAATAAATATTTACTTGAATCAAATAAATTTTCAAACCAAATAATTGAATTAAATGAACTGTATTTGAAACAAATAAATTTTTTTCAGTGTTGCAAAATATGACAATATATAGAAGTGAAAAATTGAATATGAAAATTTTCGAAAAAATAATTCTTGACGGTTTTCCTATAATTCCATATAAATTATTTGACTGGATTTTTCTGTGGAAATTTTTATATTTTTGACATTCCTCAGAGAAAGAAGAAAAGATTCTTGAAATTTCACTCTAGAGACACCTATATATACATAAAACTCGGTGATGTCCCATAAACGCTTTCTCTTGGTGAAAAAAAAAACAAATCTTCTTCTATTGCCGCAATGTTATCTTTTTTAAATAAAATAATTTTTATAGCATTCGTTAATTTAAAAGTTTTATAAATCACATTTTTTTTTACAAAAGAAAAAAAGTCATTTTTATTTATAATTCAAAAATGTAAACGAGAAATTTCATAATAGAAAAATGAATAAAAAGGAGAATTTCCCTCACTCTGGGAATTATTCAGCCTTTAAGGGGAAAAGTACCCCCATTTACAATAAATAAAAATATAAGTTGGAAAAAGTTGAAGAGAATCTAATAGGGTAAAAAACGCCCTTTGGGGGTTTTGCATAATTCAAGAACTTTTAGAAGCCTGAACAAGTTTTCTTGTTGATTTTTCGTTTGACTAGAGGTAGAATTTTAAGCTTCGGACCTTGGACAATTTTTTTTTTTTTTTTTTTTATAATGTAAAGTTTGCTATTTTAACAATTTATGAGGGAAAAATTTTTCTCTATTTATAAAAAAGATTAAGCAATTTACTTATGGCATTAAGAAAAAAAATGCAATTTTTTTTTTATATGATTTTTTTCTAAACATATTAAAAAAAATTTCTCTGTGAAAATTTTCTTAATCTAAAAAGAGCAATTATCCACAAGGCGACTTTGGCTTTAATTAATATTCCTTTAATCAAAGTTTATTTCAATGATGAGACTCTCTTTCTCTCACATTCGTCTAGTCCTTTCCTATTTTCGAAAGGATATTTTCCATAATAAGAAACGCGAGATGCTTTTTGCAAAATATTTTCTCCGTTTCAAAACTTTTTTATACTTTCATTTCAGAGGGAGAAAAAAAAAAGACAGACTGAAAATTGACAGAAAAAAAAGAAGTCATAAAGTAAACCCAAGATATCTAAAAAATGAAAAAAATGAAACCTAATTCAAAAATTTTTATTCCTCACGAAAGATGTAAAAAAGTGTGATAAAGTTCATCTATAAAAAAAAAGGAAGAAAATCTACAAGAGCAATCTCTTTGAAACTATATGAAAAAAAAGAAAGAAAACTTTGGCAAATGAGATTCATATATATATTTGAATAGTATTATCATGCAAATGTAACATATGTTTCGCATGTTGCATTATTTGATATTTGCATGATAATCTGATAACTTCTATGAGCAAGGAAACTAATGCTAATTGTGGCACGGTATGAAACTTTTTTCCAAAAAAAAAAAAAAAAAAGAAAAACCCTACGCGAGTAGCTAGATTGTTTTAAGGAAATAAGGAACTTTATTTTAAAAGTTTCTTTTAGAATTTATTATTACACAACATTCTCATAACGAATTTTGTCCTCTAAAATAAAATAAAATTATTTTTTTCTTTACACTGAAAATTTAAAAATTTATTTAAATCAAATAATTGGTTGCTTGACTGTTATCAAATAAATATTTATTTGTATCAAAAAATATTTATTTGTATCCACAAATTTTTAATTGTATTCAAAAATTTATAATTTTAATAAAAACTATTTATTTGAATTAAATAAATTTTATTTAAATTAATAATTCTGTATTTGAAACAAAATTAAATTAAATTGACTCAAAAATTATTTGGTTCAAGGAAATATTTTTCGATAATAAGTAACCGATTATTTGAATCAAAAAAAGTTTTTCCTATAAAGAATAAAAAAAATATAAAAAAAAAAAAATTGTATACAATTTGTATAGAGAATAAATTTTCAATACCTTCTTTAAAAATCAAATCCATTTTTAAAGTTAAGAAATAAAAATTTTTATTTTATATTAAAATTCTTTAAATCAAAAATTTCTTATTCTTAAAAATTGTAACTTCATTTCTGTTCCGACCACAGTGATTTTTTTTTTGTCATTTCATTAACTTTTCCTATCGGATTTGAAGCAAAGTCAAAAGTTTTAAATGAAATTCAAGCGAATCGAAGATTAAGGTTTTTTTTTTTTTGCTAAAAAGAACGTGAGGCGACAAGAAGAAAATTTTTCTGACTTGGAAGAGAGCTAAAATCTATTTAATCTGGAAATCCTTTTCTCTGTTGCAGTAACGAAATTCATCCGTATTGGAATTGCTGATAAGAACGACAATCCACCCTATTTCGACAAGGGCCTCTACGAGGCTGAGGTAGACGAAAATGAAGATATTCAGCATACAGTGCTCACTGTTACCGCCAAGGATCACGATGAATGTAAGCTCAAAAAAAAAAAAAAATTTATTCTCAATATTTCCCTCCTTGAAATGAAAATCTAATTATACAAAATTTTCATATTTTTTCTCTCATTTTTTTTTTTCAATATTTTTCTCTTACTTTCCATTTTCTTTTCCTAGTAAACTTTTTTTTTAAACTAAATAATTTATGTTCTATAATTTTACATTTTTATTTAATATTTTATTATTTCATTTATTCATAATATCAGGAAATTTTTTTAATAAAATCTGACATAAAATTCTTTGAAAATTTAAAAAATTTCTATATTAAATTTTTTTTTACATATTAAATTTCTATATTAAATAAAATTTAATTTAATGAAAAATGTTTTTTACAATATAGAACATAATTTTAAATGATAGAAAAGTGATTTGAAAAAAAAATCGTCAAAGTTTAAATATAATTATAATTTAATAACAGTATATTACTCTCATAATATATAGGTAGCTATGATTTTGTATATATTTAAATTTCAAATTTTCCTCTGGATTATTAATTTGAATTGCTGATTGCAGACTTTGCTCTTTCTTAAACTTACTGAAACTTCACAAGTTACCATTGTTTTAATTCTCAAGTCCAGTTATTAAAGGAAAAGACACTTACTGCAAATTTTCTCCATTTTTTTTTTTTTGAAAAATTATTTTATTTCTCATAAAAAAAAAATGAAAAATTATTACTGTTAATTAAAATTTTGCAATTAGTCCAAAAGAATTTATGAATAAATTTACATAAGCGGTAAATAATTATTTCTTAACAAAATAATAAACATTAAATTATAATTAAATTATTAAAATTAAATTGTAATTAAATTGCAATCAAATTGTAATTATCATTAAAATGTATCTCGTAATTAAGCTTCTAATTAAGTTACAATTGTTTTCCTTTTTAAAGAAATTTTTTTCGAAATATGAAAATAGAATTTTTTTTCAAGAATTAATTTTCTTTTTTTTTTTACAGCGTCGCGTATTCGATACGAGATCACAAGCGGTAACATAGGCGGAGCTTTCGCTGTCAAAAATATGACCGGAGCCATTTATGTCGCGGGTGCTTTGGATTATGAGACGAGAAAAAGAGTGAGTATCATTTCTTCACAATCTAATCGTAAAATTTTTCTACTCAGTGTCGACTTGCTGAGAAATGACTTTATTCAGTGCCAACTTTAAAACATTCTTTTTCCATCCTCTTATATTCACTTTAATAACATTATTTAATAGAGTGATCCAGATCCTATTTCTCTACAATAAATGTAATAATATCCATTTAATATCACTTTTTTACTTTTCAAAATGAAAAATTCAAGAAACATTTATTTACAATAAAAAAAATTCCTCCATCTTCCAATATATTTTCAATTTCATTTATATTTATTTCAAATAATTTGATAAACGTTAAAATAATAATATTTTTGTGATTTTTTTTTTCTTTTTTTTTTATTTCTTAGCTTCTTTCAAGCGAGAGTATCTTTACTCAGTGTCAAGTTAAAAAATTCTTCTCACCTTTTTCTTTACTCTCTTCGTTTTAGTTTTACAAACTTCCTCAATGGTGACCCAGATATCCCCTCATCAATATCAAATATCCACCTCATTTCTTTTCATGTAAAATCACAAAATTATTATCTTTATAAAAATGTGGTTCCTTAAACCAAAATACTGTTATCGCGAATTTAAACACAGAAAGAAAAAAGAACTTTTGACATTAATTTCTTATAGTTTTCTTTTGATTTCAAAAAATAAATATTCGAAATAAATTTTTTTTGAAAGGATCTGATAATAAAATTTTAGTAAATAAAAAAAAAAAAGAAAAAGAAAAATAGTTCATGTCCTGCGGTGTCTAAGGGAACTTCTTTGAAAAAGTAACTTAAAAATTCTGTTCCACTCTTTTCTATCAGCTTCCAGGCACAAAAGAAAATTTACTCCCTAAGAATATTTTCCGGCTCCACTTTTCATCAATTTTACACTAGTTCGTAACTTTCATGAAGAAAATTGAAAACCTTTTCTTATAAAACAAAATTCTAAATTTTCCATTAAAATTCGAAATTTAAAATTGCAAATAACAATAAAAATTAATAATAAATTTATCATTTTGCAGTACGAGTTAAAATTAACAGCCTCGGATAATTTAAAGGAAAATTATACAACTGTCGTTATTCATGTAAAAGATGTAAATGACAATCCACCAATATTTGAACGTCCCACATATAGAACTCAAATCACAGAAGAGGATGACAGAAATTTGCCAAAGCGTGTTCTCCAGGTACTTGATATAACCATTGTTTCTGTTTCACACTGAAAAGTTTCTCTCTATAACGAAAATAACAATCGTATCGTTCTCATTTTCATTTTCCAGGTCACTGCAACCGATGGCGATAAAGACAGACCTCAGAACATTGTCTACTTTCTGACTGGTCAGGGTATCGATCCGGACAATCCAGCCAATAGCAAATTCGATATCAATCGTACGACTGGCGAAATTTTTGTTCTCAAGGTATCATAATTTTTCACAAAATTTTCAGAAAATTTTCTATTTTTCTCTTACAGCCAAGTCAATAAATTTCACCAAACCTATTTTTAGAAAAATTTCATCTTAATTTTTTCATATATTCAATTTTAATAATTATTTAATAAAATTTATTATCTTGGAATTAGAATTTAAAAAATTAATTGCACAAAAAAAAAGTTTAATTTAACAGCAGGAAATATTAATTTAAAAAGCAAAGAAATATAATTAAAAAAAAAATTTTAATAACAAAAATAAATTTTACTGATATAAAAAATGATTACTAAGTATCTACATTTGAATTAGTGAGAATTGATTACTAATTCAAATTAGTAGAAATTTTCACTAATTTTTAGTAAAATATTACTATATTATTTAGTAATATTTCTTTACTAATTTTAGTGGCAGATAACTATTACCAAACATTTTAACTGATTTTTAGTAAAATATTACTATAATATTACTACAATTAAATTTAGTATTAAAAATTAGTGGAATTTTTCATTAATTTTTAGTAAAATATTACTATAATATTACTAAAATTTGATATAGTATTAAAAATTAGCAGAAATTTTCACTAATTGTTAGTAAAATATTACTATATTATTTAGTAATATTTTTTTTACCAAGTTTACTGATATATGACAAAAAATTAGTAGAAATTTTAACTAATTTTTATTAAAATATTAGTACAATTTAATTTAGTACTAAAAATTAGTGGAGTTATTAATTAATTTTTTAGGAAAATATTTCTATTATATTTAGTAACATTTTTTTTTACTAAATTTAGTAAAAAATTAACAGAAATTTTAACAAATTTATTGTAAAATATTACTATTTAATTTAGAAATATTACTAATTGATGTAGTAATATTTTTTTACTAAAATTTAAGTAAAAATAATTAAAAATTGGTTGAAATTTTTTATTATTTTTTAGTAAAATATGACTATAGTATTTAGTAATATTTCTTTACTAATTTTAGTGGCAGATAACTATTACCAAACATTTTAACTGATTTTTAGTAAAATATTACTATAATATTACTACAATTAAATTTAGTATTAAAAATTAGTGGAATTTTTCACTAATTTTTAGTAAAATATTACTGTAATTTTACTACAATTTGATATAGTATTAAAAATTAGCAGAAATTTTCACTAATTGTTAGTAAAATATTACTATATTATTTAGTATTAAAAATTAGTGGAATTTTTCATTAATTTTTAGTAAAATATTACTATAATTTTACTACAATTTGATATAGTATTAAAAAATAGCAGAAATTTTCACTAATTGTTAGTAAAATATTACTATATTATTTAGTAATATTTTTTTTTACCAAGTTTACTGATAGATGACAAAAAATTAGTAGAAATTTTAACTAATTTTTATTAAAATATTAGTACAATTTAATTTAGTACTAAAAATTACTGGAGTTATTAATTAATTTTTTAGGAAAACATTTCTATTATATTTAATAACATTTTTTTTACTAAAATTTAAGCAAAAATAATTAAAAATTGGTTGAAATTTTTTATTATTTTTTTGGTAAAATATTACTATTTAATTTAGTAAATTTTTTTTACTATACCTTTTAGTGAAAACTAACTAAAAATTAGTAGAAATTTTCACTAATTCAAATTTACAGATTAGGAATTATAAAATTGTTCTAAAAATAGTTAAATATATATATATATTTTTGTTTTTTGAAAAAAATTACATAGCGGTAAATTTTTTTTTTCTAATTTTAAAAACAAAATTTATTTAGCCTTTGGACAGAGATCAACCTAACGGAAGACCACAATGGAGGTTCACTGTTTTTGCTCAAGACGAAGGTGGAGAAGGTCTCGTAGGTTATGCCGACGTTCAAGTAAATCTAAAAGACATCAATGATAATGCTCCCACATTCCCTCAGGGTGTTTATTTTGGCAATGTCACAGAAAATGGCACAGCAGGTTTGTTTTAAATTCAAAAATTTTTCAACATCAAGAAAATAAAATTTTTAAAAATTTTAATTAAAAATATAAATAGAATTGTAAAATGAATGTAATTTTGAAGTTGATTGAAGTCATAATAAAATCATCATCATCATCAATTCCAATTAAAATAGCTCGACGGAAATTTCGAAACGGAATTAATTGGATCAAATAGTTCCAATGTATATATATATATATAGGATTTAATTACAATATTCTATATATATATGTGAATTTCGATGAAAACCGGAAATTGTCATTTAATTATTTTTCATTATATCTATATTAACAGGAATGGTAGTAATGACCATGACAGCAGTGGATTATGACGATCCATTTGAAGGTACCAATGCAAAACTAATGTACTCCATCGAGAAGAACGTAATTGAGGAAGAAACTGGTTCTCCGATTTTCGAAATTGAACAGGAAACTGGAGTAATTAAAACTGCCGTTTGCTGTTTAGATCGTGAACGAACTCCTGATTATTCGATACAAGTGGTTGCAATGGATGGCGGGGGATTAAAGGGTAAAATCATTAATTTTTCATATTTCTTTTTAGCTCAAAAATTATTTAAACCAAAAAGAAATAAAATAAATTGTCAGAAAGAATTTCAATGACAGTAGAAAAAAAAAAAAAAGTAACAAATGAAAATTTTCCTTCTCTCAGGTACTGGGACGGCGTCGATAAGAGTGAAAGATATAAACGACATGCCGCCCCAATTCACAAAAGAAGAATGGTTCACAGAAGTGGATGAAACTGATGGTCCCGATTTGCCAGATGTACCAATTCTAACAGTTACTGTACACGATGAAGATGAAACCAATAAATTCCAATACAAGGTATGAAAATTTTTTGAAAAATTCATTCAATATTTTTTTTTTGGCTTATTTTGAATACAATTTGGAACAATAAATTTTCCAGGTAATTGAAAACAGTGGCTATGGAGCTGATAAATTTACAATGGTACGAAATAACGATGGCACTGGATCATTGAAGATTGTTCAACAACTCGACTATGAGGATACATTGCAAAGCAATGGTTTCCGATTTAGAATCCAGGTTAATGATAAGGTAAAATGAGAATACAATTCATACTCGAATCTAATTATTTATATTTAAAAAAAAGTAATAGCGATTAAAAATAATTGAAAATAATTAAAAATAATTAAATACAGGGAGAGGATAATGACAACGACAAATATCATGTCGCTTACTCATGGGTGGTTGTTAAATTACGCGATATCAATGACAATAAACCTCAATTTGATAAGGCGAATATTGAAACAACAGTTGCCGAAAATGCAGTTGTTGGAAATCATCTCGAGACATTTAAGGCAATTGATCCTGATCAGGGGGGAAAGAGCAAAGTCTCCTATTCAATTGATCGTAGTTCCGATCGAAAGAGACAATTCCATATCAATGACAATGGAACTGTATCAATACAACGTAGTCTCGATCGTGAGGAAACTCCCCGACATCAGGTGAGTAGAAAAACAAAATTTCAATACAGAATTTCAAATTTTAACAAAAAAAAAATTTTTTGCTTCCATTTTAGGTGAAAATCCTAGCAATTGATGATGGTATACCGCCAAAGACTGCAACAGCAACACTGACAGTAATTGTCCAAGATATCAATGACAATCCCCCAACTTTTTTGAAAGACTATCGACCAGTTCTTCCAGAGTATACACTACCGAAAAGAGTTGTTGAAATTCTAGCAACTGACGATGATGACAGATCAAAGAGTAATGGTCCACCATTCACTTTTAAATTGGATCCAGCGGCTGATGATATTATTCGAGCAAGCTTTAAAGTCGAGAGCGATAACAGTAAACAAATTTTTGATATTTAAAATTCTAATTTTCATTCAAGAAATCTAATTTTTAAAAAACTTTTCAGAGGGTGCAAACGGAGACGGAATGGCAATTGTCTCATCATTAAGATCATTTGACAGAGAACAACAAAAGGAATATTTAATTCCAATAATAATCAGAGATTCTGGAGATCCTACAATGTCCGGTACAAGTACATTAACAGTTATCATTGGCGATATCAATGACAATAAAATGCAGCCCGGCTCAAAAGACATTTTTGTATATAATTATGCAGTAAGTTTCAAAAATTCAAAATTAATTTTAATTCAAATTGATTTTACCAAAACAAATATATTTTAATAGGGACAATCGCCAGACACGGAAATTGGTAGAGTTTATGTTTACGATTTAGACGATTGGGATTTGCCTGATAAGAAATTCTATTGGGAAAATTTGGAACATGCTCAATTTAAACTCGATGAAAATACAGGAATGATATCGATGAGAGCGGGCACTCTCGATGGAAGATATAATTTACGTTTCAAGGTCTATGATAGAACACATACACAAACTGATGTACCTGCAAATGTAACAGTGACTGTTAAAACAATTCCACATGAGGCTGTATTAAATTCAGGTTCAATGCGTGTATCAGGAATTACTGATGAGGATTTTATACGCGTTTGGGACTATAAGGTAAAATTGGGAAGCAAAAAAATAAAAAATAAAGAAGCAGTAAAAAAAAAGAAAATTACATGTTTTTATTTTCCTCTTTCAGACTCAAACACTATCTAGAAGTAAAGCTGATCTATTTAAAGATAAACTCGCCAATTTGCTGAAAATAGATAAGGAAAAAGTTGATGTGTTCAGTGTGCAACTGAGAAGAAAACATCCTCCTTTAACGGATATCAGATTTGCTGCTCATGGTTCGTCGTATTATAAACCCGTTAGACTGAATGGAATTGTTCTGATGCATCGAGAAGAGGTAAAAAAAAATCGAATTAACAAGAACCTTTCAAAAATTGGTTCTAAAATTAATTTTCAAATTGTTTCTAAATTTTTAGATTGAACGAGACGTTGGTATTAATATAACAATGGTTGGTATTGATGAATGCCTCTATGAAAACGAAATGTGCGAAGGCAGTTGTACAAGTACTTTGGATATTAGTAATTTACCGTACATGGTGAATGCTAATAAAACCGCTCTCGTTGGAGTTCGAGTTGATGTGATAGCTGAATGTACATGTGGTGCGAGAAACTTTAGCAAAAGTGAATCCTGCAGAACAAGTCCTTGTTATAATGGGGGTCGTTGCGTTGAAGGTCGTTTTGGTTTATCGTAAGTAAAATACAATTCTTTAGCCTTCTAAATTAGATTTTTTTTAGCTTTTTTAATTTTCTTCCTTGGGCAAAAAAAGTAATGAGTTTTTTTTTTAGATGTCAATGTCCAGCGGGATATAATGGACCAAGATGTCAACAAACAGCGAGAAGTTTTAAAGGAAATGGTTGGGCATGGTATCCTCCTTTGGAGATGTGTGACAACAGTCATCTTAGCTTTGAATTCATCACAAGAAAACCAGATGGATTGTTACTTTACAATGGACCTATTGTACCTCCAGAGACTGATGAGTCTCTCATTTCCGGTATTAGTGAAATTCATTTCTTTTAAAAACTCTAAGATGACCAATTTTCTCTAAATTCTTTACTTTCAGATTTTATATCAGTGGAACTTCATAAAGGAATACCGAGAATGTTAATTGATTTTGGATCCGGAACATTGGAGCTAAGGATAAAGACCAAAAGATCTTTAGATGATGGAGAATGGCACAGAATCGATATATTTTGGAATACAGAGGTAAAAATACAATAGTTTACTTTTGTCTTTTATTGATTTTATCAAAAATATCTTTTCTTTCAGACTGTAAAAATGGTAGTTGATTTTTGTAAATCGGCAGAAATATCCGAATTGGAGGACGGAAGTCCACCGGAATTTAATGACACAAGTTGCCAAGCAACGGGTACAGTGCCACCGTTCAACGAATATCTAAATGTCAATTCACCGTTACAACTCGGTGGTCTTTATTATGAAACATTTGATCCCGATCAATTCAAATGGAAGCATATTTGGGCGGGAACGAATTTCGATGGTTGTATTAAAAATTTATTTCACAATAGTAAACTTTATGATCTTGCACATCCGGGATTATCGAGAAACAGTGAAGCCGGTTGTCCGCAAACTGATGAAATTTGCCACAATCAAGAATCAACTTTCCGTTGTTGGGAGCATGGAACTTGCGTTGGAAGTTTCACGGAAGCAAGATGCCAATGTAATCCAGGATGGACTGGTCCTGGTTGTATGACACCGACAATTCCAACGACCTTTAAACCTCAAAGTTATGTGAAATATGCACTTTCCTTTGAACCTGATAGATTCTCAACTCAAATGCAATTGAAATTCCGTACGAGGGAGGAACATGGAGAACTTTTTAGGGTTAGCGATCAACATAATAGGGAATACGCCATTCTGGAGGTTTGTTTCATTGGTTTACTTTTCTCTATCATTGAATATTATTTAATAATTAAAAATGATTTTTCTTTGATAGATCAAGGACAGTAGATTGCACTTTAGATACAATTTGAATAGTCTGCGAACGGAGGAACGGGACATTTGGTTGACGGCAATATCTGTTAATGATGGTCAATGGCATACTGTTCGAGTATCGCGGTACGGATCGGCAGCAACATTAGAGCTTGACGGAGGTGAAGGTCGTAGGTTTAATGAGACATTCTCCTTCGAGGGACATCAGTGGCTCCTTGTTGACAAGCAAGAAGGTGTCTTTGCAGGTGGTAAAGCCGAATACACCGGTGTCAGGACCTTCGAGGTTTATGCTGATTATCAAAAAGGTAAATTCTAGCTAAAGATTACTTAATTCTAATTAAATTAATGCTAATTAAATTAAATCTACTTTAGGTTGTTTGGATGACATAAGATTGGAGGGAAAGCATCTTCCATTGCCACCGGCAATGAATGGAACTCAATGGGGACAGGCGACAATGGCAAGAAATCTTGATAGGCATTGTCCTTCCAATAAACCCTGCGCCAATGTCATTTGTCCTGATCCTTTCGAGTGCATTGATCTTTGGAATGAATACGATTGCACGTAAGTTGTAAAAAGAAATCTAATGATAAAAGAGTTATTCTAAAAACGAGAATTTACCTCAGGTGTGGAGAAGGAAGAATACCATCACCGGATAATAAGGGTTGTATGGACAAGAACGAGTGCATCGATTATCCATGTCTAAATGGAGGACGATGCATCAATCAAGATCCAAGATTCAGATACAGGTGCATCTGTCCCGCGGGATTCTGGGGCGAAAATTGTGAACTAGTTCAAGAGGGACAGACATTAAAATTGGGAATGGGAGCACTTGCCGCTATTTTAGTTTGTCTCTTAATGATTCTTGGTGAGAAATTAAAAATGAATTTTCAATCTATGAATTTAATAAAAAGGATATAATAAACGAATTTTAATAATTCAGTTCTAGTATTGGTCTTCGTTGTCTACAACAGAAGAAGGGAGTCTCTTATTAAATATCCAGGTCCAGATGACGATGTGAGGGAGAATATAATAAATTATGACGACGAAGGAGGTGGAGAGGACGATATGACTGCCTTTGACATCACTCCTTTACAAATACCAATTGGTGGACCGATTCCGGAAATGGGTGGAAAATTGCCACCTTGCAAAATAGCATGTACGTTTTCTACCTATTCTATTTTTACTATCTATAAGGGGAGATTTTTTCAAGAATGATTATTTTTACAGACCCCTTGGGACCAGAACCAAATGTGGGTATTTTTATCGAGGATCATAAGAAGAGGGCTGACAGCGATCCAAATGCTCCTCCTTTTGATGATCTTAGAAATTACGCTTACGAAGGAGGCGGAAGTACCGCTGGTTCTCTTTCGTCACTAGCTTCCGGTAATTAGAATTCCAAAAAGAAAATAATATTAAAAAAAAAAAGGAAATTTTACATTTTTTTTTCTCTTTCCAAAGGCACAGATGACGAGCAACACGAATACGAATATTTGGGTGCTTGGGGTCCCAGATTTGATAAATTGGCCGATATGTACGGTCCAGTTGAAGAAAGCGAAGAGGAGGAATAAATTCATCAAAGAAGAAAAAGAAAACAAAAAGTGAATACAGTTTTGTGCTCTATGGAAAAAAAAAATCCTTAAGGACGTTCATAAAAGAACGCCAAAAAAAAAAGCTCATCGAGAATTAAAGTGTTAGGTACGAGTTTATTTCAAGATCTCGTGAACTCTAATTAATCGAGATAAATTTCCACAAACTCGTGTAAGAAAAAAGCGACTTCAAAATCGAATGACATCGATCTTTATTAACGTTTTAAAAATTAAAATTCCCATAATGTCGCGTAATTAATATACAAAAAAAATATTGACTAGATTTTCCACATACACACACAGAGTAAATCAATCTAGTCAATCATGAGTGAAAAATATTGCCAAAAAAAAAAAAAAACACAAAAGAAAGCGAAACAAGAAATATCCGGCAAAAATTTATCTTCCACACTTGAAAGAGATTAAAATTGTTACAAATCTCCTACGGATGCTGAAGAATAGATTTTCACTGTTAAACTCGGTTTTTGTAGATATACTAAAAAAAAAAATAGTTTCGCTTTCAATTAAAAAATAATGAAGATTTAAACATAACTCTTCAATGTATAATGTAAATCTTTAACACATGAAGATTGAAATATCTTTAATATGAAGATTAGGAAAAATATCTTTAATATAAAAAAAAATATCTTCAATTTTAAATATTTAAAAAACGAAGAAATAAAAACGAAGATTACAAAAAAAATGAAGATAAAGAAAAATTTTCAATTTCAATAATAGAATTTTCAAAATTGAAAATTTTTCTTAAATTAAGAATTTTTAAGCGAGAAAAAAAGAATAAAATCTTCAACTTGTTTTGAAGATATAAAGGAAATAATATTCCTGAATTTTTAGATTTATCTTCGGAGAATTGCAATATTTTTCACACAAAAGAATAAAAGGTGACGAACTCAGAAAAACACATTGAAATAAATTAGAATGATACACGAACTCCATACACTTAATCATAATATACATATTAATCATAAACACGCATTCATTCATAAAACACTATCGCACACATTCATAATTGTCGAAAGGAAAGTATAATAATTCACATTAGAAACAAAAACGATCACGAATGATCGTCCTGGAGGGAATAAATTATTTATTAAAAAATAAAAGAAAAAGAACGAAAGACACCGGAAAATAAGGATCCCCGAACCTTTTTCAACCGGCGCGCAAATCGACATTGCAGATAATTTTCAACTCATTAATTAAAAAAAAAAAATATAATCTAAAGGAAAACAAAACAAAAAAAAAACAAAAAAAAAAACAAAAAAAGATTCATATTTGTATAGTTCGTTAACACGTATACGTAGTCATCCCTCGCAATGTGTACGTAACGTGAGGTTTTTTGCTATTATTTTTTTATTTATTAAAACTTGAAAAAAAAAAAAGAAAAAAAATTACATGTAGTATATCCGGACCATTAAGAAACGAACGTTGCGATCGTTTTATCCATAGACTATTTTACCATTTAAGACAAATTATTATTAATTATTAATGAATTATAAAATTATTATTAAACGACCCTCGTCGTTCTTCAACTCTTATCAAATCTGATCGTGCCACAAAAAAAAAAAAAAAAAACAAACAAAAAGATCTCACAAAGTTGACGAATTTCGAGTCTTTTTATACCCTTCCCCCCCCTCAAACTTCGGACCCCCAAAAATACTTTTTCATTACTTTTATATATATATAAAAAAAGCGATATTTGTAAAACAGTTTCTTACACACAGTCAGTTTTTTAAATCAGTCATTTTTCAAATAAATATTCTCTCCTCACGACTGAAATTCCGATTGTCATTATTTTTTTTTTTTTTTATTTTTAATGACAAACGAAAAATATATCAATTTTATTATATATTATATACATACATATATACTCGTTTTATATGCATTTTTTATTCTAACGAATGTTTCATTCTTTTCGATCGACATCGAATATAATCTGAGAATTTGAGATTTTTTCGAATTTCAAAATTGTATGGAATTTTGGTGAACATTAATATTTTATTTCTCATAATAATAATAAAAATTATTATTATTATTAAATAATAAAAATTATTATATTATTATTATTTAATAATAAAAATAATAACAAAAATTATTGTTAATGAAAAAACTTTTTTTTTAATTACTTTTCAGATTGAGAAAAGAGTATTTAAAAATTCCATAAAATTTCGATTTCTTTTTTCCAACGAAAATTTCTTAAAAATTCTTTTTTCCGAAACATCTGTTAAATCATAGAGAAAAAAAAAAACGAAATTTATGACTGAATATAATTCTACGTGACTGTGTTAAATTACGTTCGATTTTACAGTTTTCCTCGCGTCGTATTTGAATCTTTAAGAAAAAAAAAAAAAGAAAAAAAAACAACTATTATAGGTACTGTTTTTTCCACTCGAATCGACTGATTTGTAAAATTCTCAACGGGATATTAATAGTCAATTTACCTGTTAGGTCACTTATCCATTAAGGGGTACGTAAAAAATAAGTACTGTACGAAAACTATGTAATTAACGTGTATGACACAATTTTTTTTTTTTTTTTTTTTTTTTTTTTGTCAATTGACAGAAAAAAAAGGAAAATTCATACACAATCAAGTAATTGTATAATTGTCCTAATTATCATCGTAATTACGTATCGTTTTGCGATTTGTGATATTAAGTTTCATATATAAAATGCTCGCGCTCGTCCCAAGGGTTTCACTAGTCTATTTTTTAGTCTAAGTTTAGAAATATATAAATAAATAAAAGTAGACTTTAATAGATTCCTCTTTTCCAGGGTGTCGATACGATCTAATTTCCATTGTTCTTTCTTTTTAATTATTAATTTTTAAACAAAAAATTCATTTATTTAATTTTAAAAAAATCTTTCTATTTATTTAGAAATCATATTCTGAGAAATTTTTTTAGAATAATTAATATAGTAATTTAAATTTTTTCCCAAATTTTCCTTTGTAAATATAATAGAAACTTTATAAATATTAATTTTTAAATTAACTGAAAACTAATTTTTTTCTGTAAAATATGTATATTTATTTTTTTTTTTAATTTATTTTAAGGGAGAAAAAAGTAATAAAAATTTTTATTTCTTTTTATCTCGTTCTACTTAAGATGCAATTTTGCAAAATAAAAAAATCATTCCCAAGTTCAATCGATACCCTGATTTTTTATGATAAATTTAAATTATTTAATGTAGGGCTTTTATTTCTTTCCTGTTTCTATTTTTTTTATATTTCTTTTTTATATTTTTTTTTTTTATAATTCTCTTTTTTAGTAAAAATATTTTTTATGTATAATTTCAAAAATATCAAATTATTTGTTTTTTGGCTTATTGTAATTTTTTTTTCTATCCCCCTCCCCCATCCCCCCAATCGATTGTAGTATAAACAGTATTTCCACAGACTGGCATTAGGAAACGAGAGTTTATCGTTAAATCTGAGTTGCGTCGGTGCGTGTGTGCAGTGGCATGAAAGAAAAAATGATGAATTATAGTTAGGACTCAGCCGTTATGTATGTAAATTAACGAATAATTAAAAAAAAAAAATTAATTCTCCGCGATTGCTCGACTCAGGCACCTCGCAAATAAATAAAGAGTATACACGCGAATTTCACATTCGAAATGTCCAATCATATAATATGTAAATATCAAAAGCGAGGGCACCAATGATAATCAGAAAAAAAAAATGATTTTATACACAGAAAAAGATTTTCTCAATTAAACAATCACATTTATTTTATAATAATAACTTTTAGAAAAAAAAAATTATTTATTCAATGAAATAGTTAAAAATGTTTTTTTTTCTAAATTTAAAAAAAAAACAGATCTTATTTTCATAAACAATGGTAAAACAAAATCTTTTTCTTTGTATTGCATCGTAACACTGATCTCTTCCACAATTTTCTGTCTCTAAATCAAAATTAATTTTTTTACAAATAAGTTCATCAAAGTTCAGAAAAAAAATTTACTCATTAATCGTAATCTTTAAAATATATAAAAAAAAAAAAAAAAAACGCTCAAAGAATTTTTATTTCACGATTTAGGGACAAAAGTGCAATACAGCCTCGCAATATTAAATTCGCGATAACTCAGGGTTATATATGACAAAGTGCAAATGTTATTTTAATTTTTTTTTTTTATTAAACAATTTTTGCAGGACTATTTTTTGAGTAATTAAAAAAAAAATCAATTTAATTGTCCAATTGCACAAAAATACACAATATCGAAATAACACTTTGAGTCAATTTGAAAATAATTTTATAAATTTTTTTTTTTTACTAAGATAGTATTTTACTATTTAAATATGTCTCTATTGACAGCTTTTTTTTATTTACTTTTACATGATAATTATTTAATGAATCTTATTTAATGTTTATTTTACATAATACTTTAAAAAATAATTTAAATATTATATTAAACAATTTAATCATATATAATAATATAATAATATATAATATAATAAACAATTATAAATGATATAAATATAATTACAATATAATTGTATTATATTAAATATTATAATATATCAGACTGTTTATAATAATAAAAAGAAAAATAATAATAATGATAATACAAATGGATCTTAAATGCGATTCATTCAATAATTTATTTTAAAATATATTTTATTCGCTGTGGTGTCTTTGCTCGTGAATAACAAAACAGTTCAATTGCCATTAGAATGTCAATAAAAAAAAAAATATATAAATCTACTTTAATTATTCTCTAAATCTGATTAACACTGGCGCAAAATAGCAAAATTAATAATTTTCATCTAATGAATTTTATATTTATTTTCTTAGTAAATTATTTATTTAAATATTTTATTTATTAAATTATTTCAATCTCCTAGTAAGTTGATTATTTAAATTTTCAATGACTCAATAATTAAATCTTTAATTTATATTTGTAATAAAATATTAAATTAGTGCTATAATGCCAAATTAGAAAATTACTAATTAATAAATAAAAAGTATAAAATATATATGTATATTATCAAATTGGAAAAAACTATAAATAAATTTAGAAAAATTATTAAATTGTCAAACAATCAAAATTATTAACTATTTAAATATATTATTATTAGTCAAACTTATTGAAATGCTAAATTATATTATATAGAAAATTAAAAAATTAAAAATGATAGAATAAAATTTAAATAATTTCATTATCAAAATATGTAATTATTAATTTATTATTTATATTAAAGAAAATTTTTTTTATTTAAAAAAATTTATTAAAAAAAAACTATCTGCTATTTCGTCAATAAAATTCAGATTTAGAGATTGTGTTATAATAATTAACAAGCAGTTTATAGTAGAAATCATGATGGTTAAAATCATCGTTAGAGAACAAAGAATTTGTTAATTGCTCATAGAATTAACGAAGTTAAATTTTTCAGATCGTGATAGAATTTACGTAGTTTTTTAAGGAAAATTTTTGAATAAATAAGGGAACGTACGTTATAAACGAGCACGCTCACCAGCTACATATCCCTCAAGTTCTCTATACACACACATGCACTGCCTAACTAAAAAAAAAAAAAATTAAAAAAAATAAAAAAAAATAACGTTCAAAAAAAAAAAAAAAAAAAAGAGGTGCCAATCGGGTCGAGTGAATTAATTAAACAGGTGTAGTAAGTAGGATGTAAAGCCGATGTTTTACCAATAGCAGTCGTTAAAAAACTGTAATATATAAATATATGAAAAAAAAATATAAATATATATATGTATAATGTATATGTGAGCTGCCACTGAACACATCTCATTAGTACAATTACCATACGATATAATCTATACGTACAATATAATCGACACACATGTATTATTAATTGATATATTATTAATAATTGATTATATGAAACATCATTGCCACTACATTATGAATACCATTTGTACTTTAACATTTCAGTTCCGAAAGAAAATAAATGCCTTCTTTTTAATATAAAAAAAAGAACAATGTACAATTATTATACATTACCCCACTCTCAAAAATGTTTGTTTTTCGAAATTAATTAAATTAAATTATTAATTAATTTAAAAAAAAAAAATTTTTAATTTACAAAATAGAATAACACTCACCGATCACGAATTTCCAATTACAAATGATAACAGGATACAATCTGGAACATCAGCATCCTTCCGATCCTTATTTTTCTCTCTGTGTCCATTTACCCTGAAAAAATTAATTATATTTATTATTTTATTATTTTTATTATTACTATTATTATTATTATTATTATTATTATTATTATTATTATTATTATTTTCTTGTCTCAATTTTAATAAAAAGCGACTGTAAGTTTAAAATTTATTATTTTTTTTTCAAATTCTTTTATACATTGATGTTTATAAAAAAATTTTCTTAACAAATTAATGACATTCGGTAAAACTTGTTCGCGATTCTCTGCTTTTTCTTCGTCTTCGATTTTTAATTTGTTGTTTCTCACTATGTTTTATTGAAGGAAATTCTTTTATTATTCGATTCCAAATTACAGTCACAAAATGTGTCAAAAAACAAATTACACCTTGTTTTCTGAAATTATTTTTAAACTACATTTTCCATATAGATTAAAAAAAAAAAAATTTTTTTTAAGCATTTAAAATAATCATATATTGTAATCATATAAGTATATTGTTTATATTTTATATTTAAAATTAAATGTAATTAATAAAAAAAAAAAATTGTTAATAATAAATTATCCAAAAAAAAATTATCATTAACAATAAATTATAAACAATTACTTAAGAATTGAAAAATCCAGGGTTCTTGTAACGTGAAGACTGAGATAGAAAAATGTCAAAGCAATAAATAAACATAAAATATCCACAAAATTATTACTTGTATTAATAATTTCGGCCAATTTTAAATATCCTAATTTATGAAACACCTGACAAATTATTTAATTAGTTAAAATTAACCTATATTGAATTATTTTATTATTTAAATTAAACTATAAAATTATTTTATTATTTAAATTAAACTATTAAATTATTTAAATTAAATATAATCAATTAGTAATTAATTAATTACCCAATAAAATAAAATAAAAATTTATTTATAAAAATAAAATAAACAAATTACTTCACACAATTTTTTCGGCAAAGTTTTCATAATAATAACATCAATCGGTATCCAAATACAGGCCAATGAGAATTCCAATAAAAACATCGTTGCTAAAAACTGATTTAATTTACAAAAAAAAAAAATAAATAAATTTAAAATTTGAAAAAACCTACTAAAATTTAAAGATTTTTTTATTTACCTCATAAAGGGACAATAAAGCAATTTGGGGCTTTCGAAAAGTATTTGGAAAAAGATTTATTTTCAAAATGATGACATAAATTGCAGATGCAAATAAAACTGAGGTTAATGTTTGTCCATAAAGAAGTGGTTTACCATTCAAATCCTTCATGGCATTTGTGAAACATGTTTGAAAAACGGAAATTCCAAGGACATGTAATAAAAAAGCCCAAAATGTATTCAAAAATTTTGCCATTTCATAAATAACCAACGATTTTAAATAAAAAAAAATAATAACTTCTTTTTTGAACAAAAAAAAATGAATTAACTGAAGTTCATCATTAATCGATTCTGAAAAATCGACAAAAACTTCTCAGTGTTTATTATTTACAATATTAAAAAAAAATCAATTTTATTTATTATAAATAAAATAAAAAATATTATAAATTAAATTTTTTTTAAAAATATTGTTAAAATATTTTTCGTATATAAATAATAATAATAGAAAATAAATTTTATTATTATTTATTACAATTATGACAATTTTATGATATAATTACATAACACACAATTTGTACAAAATTTGTTATAAATAAAATGCACTCGACACGTTGGAACATTTTTGAGAGAAAACATATAACTATTAATCGTGAGTTTCAAATGAAAATGATTTTCCATATTCTTCTATTTCATCACAAGCCAAACGATGGCATTTGTGAATAAAATAATCAGCATCATCGGAATCATCATATTCTGTATCTCCACTTGCTCCACCTTTATTTCTTGAAAAAAATTCCACGTCCCTAAAAAAAAATTTTTTTATTTTATTGTCAATGGAAAAAAAAATGTATAATTTTGTTCAAAGAAAAAAAGAAGCTCATAAAATAAATTTAATTTAATGAATTCTTGTAAAAAAAAAAAAAAAAAAAATTTATATATAAATAAATTTGAAAAATATGTAGATAAAATAATAAAAGTAATTTTAATTTCATTTCTTCTCGTGAAATACTTTACTACTTGGTCCAGATATCGAGAATCCCATCCAGTGATTCTGTAGCGTCCAGCATCCAAACAAAGGAGAGAAGTGATAAGCAAAAAGCTATGTGAAATGCTGCCACATCCTCGCACATGTATGTTGCAAGTGCATTAAGAAAAGAATAACGATCTAAACCCAATGCATCATTCAACCACTCCAACTAAAAAAAAAAATAATTAAATTATTAATTAATAATTCAAAAAATTAATCAAAATTAAATTATAATAAAAAAAATTTATACTCCCTAATAATTATTAATTTCTTACTAACCCATCTACTTGATTCTTGTGTCATGCACCATATTGCATTTACAAGAGGAATCCAAATTACTTTCAATGCCAAATTTGTTACTAAAGAAGATACCATCATCTAAAAATTATAAACAAATTAAAATTAGTTAATAGTTAATTTTTTTTTAATTTAACATTAGTTATTAGCAATTTTGTATTAGCTAATAATTTGATAATTAGTTAATTATAAAAATATAGAGAATAAAAAAAATAGAATTGAAAAAAATAATAAAAATCAAAAAAACGAATAAAAAAAATTATAAAAAATAATAAAACTAATAAAAATAATATACAAAATAATAAAAAAAAAAACAAAAAAGAATAATAAAAATAATACAAAAAATAATAAATAATAATAAAAAATAGTAAATAAGAAAATTGCAAAATAATCATTACCTCATAAACAATCATTAATTGAACAGGTGGTTCTTTCAATGATCGTGGCCATAATTTATATTCAGCAAGGAGACACAATACTGAGAAAATGAATAAAACTGATGCATACGATGGATCAAATTGCAAATTTAAATCATCATCAAAACATAATCCAATAATGCAAATTTGCCTTAAATGTATATATAATCCAGTGGCAACAATAATAATCCAATGATAATTGAAACATTCAAAAAAATTTTTTACCGCATCCATATTATTTATACGGAAAATTTTGTCCGAAATTATTTTTTCCTTTTCTTGTGGCCAATCTATTTTTTTTTTTTTTTTTAATCATCCATTAATTATATCTCACTCTTTGTTAAATTTTTATTTTTATTAATAATTATGTCAACTGTAATTTTGTTACTTACTTGTAATTTTTTTTCTTTTTAATCCAATGAACTAAATTATTACACTTTTCGATTTTGACGATAAATTATTATTAATTAACGTGCATCTCAACATTTAAATTTTATGACACTTCCGATACGTAAAATTATTTTTTTAAAAAAACTGTCACATACGTCAAAACATTGAAATTAGCGCAAGAGATTGTTTTCTCCTTTCAATTGTTTCTTCATTTTCAAATTCATTTAACTTTATTATAATAATAATATAATAATAATAATAATAATAGTAATAATAATAATAATAGTAATAATAATAATAATAATAATAATAATAGTAATAAATAATTATTTTATATACACCAAAAGTAATTATATATTTGTCTCATAGCCAAATAAATATTGGTTGCAAATAAATTTTTCTTTGATTTAAACAAAAATTTAATTTGCTCTCAGACAAATATACGTTTATTTAACTCAAATATATTATATTTGGTTCAAATAAAACATTTCTTTGGGTGTATAATATTTATTATTTATTTATATATGCCTTCTAACTCATTTATTTGTTGCAAATATATTTTATTTCATTTGGATAACAAAAATTTTTTGAACCAAAGAAAAATTTATTTAAGCAAAAGAAAAATTTATTTATGGCAAATAAAAATGTTTATTCACGCCAAATAAATAAGTTAATAGGATCTGAGGCAATTAATAAATTTTTTTGGGTAATTTTTCTAATCAATAAACAGGTACGACTTAGCGAAAAGATAAAAAAAATATATTTTTGAGAAAATTACGAAATTTTTTATTTTTAACAAATGATGGAAAAATGCCGCTATGGGAGCTTTCAAAAAGCTAAGTACTGGAAAAGCTTGAATGATGGACAATGAAAGCGTTCAAGGAAAAATAAGAGGGTAAAAACCAAAGAAAGAAAAAAAAATAGAGAGAAAGATCGTGTGAACAAGAGAATTCCATTATCTTGCTTCAGATGCAATTTCGAAAATGAGTATCAACGATTTTGGATTTAGAGACAAGATTTCAAAAAAAAAAATCTAGAACAATGCTTATTTTCCAACAAAGATTTTTTTTACCATAAAATCGCTATACAACAGATGTTAGAAAAAAGAAAGAATCATTTATATATGTGGTTTCTCATAAATAATGCATTGCATTTAGAAATTGACTCTTTCTTTAAGGGCAGAGGAGGCAGAGAATAATGCATTTGTTATTCACTTCATTTACTAAATAAAATAAAATAAATAAAAGTATTATACACACTCGCTTACACATTAATTATAATAAATATGTATTCATGAAATTAAACATTCCCCTCTTTTCAAATAAAATATCTTTTAGTTTGTTATATTATTACATATATATTATATCATCGATATCGCACTTGAAATAATAAAAAAACAAAAAACAAAAAAAATTTTCCTTCAAAATAAGCTGATAAGTCCTGCAAGCTATACGAGTTACCGGGAAATTGCTCTTCAAAAGCTTATCTCTGATGATGATGGCTTTTGTTTTTCTTTTCTTTTCCATTTCTTGACAATAAAAAAAGAAGTCCACCGAGACATATATATATATAAAGGGTTTAAATAGAAAGGGAATTAAGGATTTTGTATTATATTTGATTTTTTTTATCATTACCCCGTAATTGAAATGTGGATCTGGATCCAGTTCTGATCAGATTTTGTGAGACTATTTTTATTTTAAATAACATTTTTTTTTCTTTTTTAATTTTTTTTTTTTTGTATTTTACTAATTCCGTTTAATTTAATTTATTTATAATTTTTTATATTATTTTGATTTAAGATTACTAAATATACAGTAAATAAAACGAGAATAATTTTGAAAAATCTTATACGCTTGGGGGATCGAACCTAAGACCCTTGGGACGCGAGCCGCGTACTCTGACCACGCAGCCACGTTGATTATAAATCTTTTACCTAAAATTTCTTCTTGAATATTATACTGAACTGTGTAATAACAAAAAAACTACATTATCTCTATATTTTTACATGCAATAATTTATTTTAAATTTCCCTATTAAAAAATGGGTAAGAAAAAATAATTTTTTTTTTCAAATTAGTTTGAATAAAAATTAGAATAGCGAGAAATGAAGTAGAAAATATCAGACAAATCCTAGGAAGAAAAAGGAAAAAAAAAGACTCGCCTTTCAAGATAAAGAGAGAGAGAGAAGTGGTAGAAATAAAATGAAAAATATCCTCTCAACTATGCCACTTTTAGATCCTCTTTCCGCGCGTTTTATCGGAAAAATAAAGAAGAACCTCTTCTTTTCTAGTACTTACACTTCACAATAATTCTCTCATTAATGATCTTTTAAAATTGATACCATATTTTTTTTTTTTTACATTATCTTAGACGGTCGAAAAAAAATCTGTTCAGTTTAATATTTAATTCGAAAACAATTATAAATTTAATTGTCCACTGTAATTTTTGATTGATAAAAAAAAATTATTCAAATCCTATTAAGATTATAAATAATATAATAAACTTTGTCAAATTTATTGTCATTTAGAAGCCTGTTGAATGGGAGAAAATGATTTTAAACTTAGTTAGCCGTAAAGGGCGTAGCTCCTTGAAATTCAATTTTGTTTGCTGTGTTAGTGAAACTAAAGTGTGTCTCATCTTGGAAAACTAGATTACAGCATCTCTTGCATTATTCTTAAAGACCACTTTCAAAGTTTCAAATGCACCCTCATTCACGCGATTTGTCTATTTGGAATATATATGATATCAAACGTTAATTCAATTTATCACTAAAAATTTTGCTAAAATAATGATTTTTTATTCAAATTTCAAAAATTTAATGTTTATATTATACAAAAAAAAAAATTTTTTTTTACTATTCGAAACTATTTTATAGTTTATTTATATTTTTCCTATATAGCTGTACGAAGACTAGATATAAATTTATATTTTCTATATTTCGTAATGTTTAAGGTCAAAAGGGAAAAATGAAGAAATTTACTTTGTATTATTTGTTTCTAACCTTGATATAAAAGATCGTATAAGGTAGAGAATTTTTCAAAAGAATAGAAAGAAAGAAAAAGAAAAAAAAATGAAAGAACTCGTTAAAATAACAGTTTCGTTGACTAAGGTGATTTGAAAAAGAAATAAAAAAAAAAAAAATTCAAAAAAGTTAACCGTTCTTTTGTCACGTTTTAGTGGTTTTTTTAAAAAATATAATTGTTATCATTACTTTCTAAATGATGAAAGTTTAATAAAAAATATATTATTTATTATTTTTTTTTTAAATACAGTGGAATCTTGTACTGTCGAAAACTCTTTTTATTTTAAAGAATTATTCTTAAAATTCAACTTATCTAGGTTCCACTGTATAGAAGAAAAATACTGTTTTCCAAAATACTTTTAACGAAAAATAGTTTTTTTTTAATACAGTAGAAACCTCGTTAAATCTAACGTGGAAATTCTTTTAACTAGAATTTTAAATAATTTTTCCTGAAATTGCACATATCGAGGTTCTTCTGTATTATTTTCCAAATATACCACTTTTCTTTTTTGTTACATATCGATTGCTATACAATATTTATATAATTTTTACATTGTATCGAGGTTTCACGGCAGGAAAAAAAATACTTCTTTCAAATTTTCCATTTATCGAGGCTCCACTGTAGGAAAAAATACTTTTTTTTTCAAATTTTCCACTTATCAAGGTTCTAGTGTAGAAAATTTTTTTTTTTTTTCAAATTTCCAACTTATCAAGGTTCCAGTGTAGAAAAAAAATAATTTAAAAAAATTTTCAACAATTTTTAGTTTAAAAAATTGTAAAAGATAAATTCGAAATGATATTGAATGTATATATATATATATTTTCCCCTCTATTACTATAGATATCGGAGAGTTTTCTGATAAAACGAAGGGTGGGGAATACATAAACCCTGAAACTACGCGGAGCACTCGTCAGTCGTCACTGGTACACGGACCACGTTGACGGTCAGGCCAGTCTTTACAAATCAATCTCACGTTTTGCTAGGTATATCGCGTGGAAAGATTAAATTACATATTCCACTTCAATTCGTTCGTGAAACTTTTTTTTTTTCTTCACATAAACTCGTTTTTATTTTAGTGATTTTTTATTCACCGAGGATCTATTTAAACTTGAATTGATCAAGAGGTAAGAATTTCAACTTCAATTTTTAAATTAATAATAATAAAAATAATAATGATAATAATAATTTTTTAATTAAATTTATTTATTTCGACAAGAAACAATTGTATTGCATTGTCAAAACAATAAATAAATTATAATTGTAATAAATAAATGATTAAATTTAAACAATTTTTTAAATTAATATATAATGTATAAATATAAAAATTAATTAAAAGAAAACAAATTGAATAATTAACAAATTATCGTTGCCTACGACAAGAAACGCTTATCAATGAAGTGGAAACTGCTTTTTATAAACTGCTGACATTTAAATGAGAGTTCATTGCTCAATTTGTTTTGGCAAGACCAAGGGCAGTGAAGGGGATTAACATAAAAATGTGAAATATTTAGCAATTATTGTGGTATTAATAATAAATTAGCTAATCAAAATACATTGATTATTTATTATTAATAATTTAATAATAATAATATTAACGATCCGATGGAAAAAATTTAGATTTTTTGCATTTAAAATTCAATTTTTTTTGCGAATAATTATTTTTTATAACAAATTTTATTAAATTTTTAAATAAACAATAAAGAAATAACTAATAAATAAACTAATCAAATAAATATTTATTTGGACCAAATAATTTTTATTTGAATCAAATAAACTGTAGGATTTAAACCAATAATCTTTTTATGTATTTGATGCAAGTAAATTTTTATTTTATACAAATAATTATTGTACTCAAAGAAATATTTATTTGATACAAATAAATGATTATTGTACTCAAAGAAATATTTATTTGATACAAATAAATAATTATTGTACTTCAAGAAATATTTATTTGATACAAATAAATAATTATTGTACTCCAAGAAATATTTATTTGATAATAGTCAAGTAGCCAATCCCTTGAATTAAATAAATTCTTTTTTTCATTTCAACTATATATTAATGTCTGACAAATTAATTCTGCATTAAATGACTCTTATCGACAAATCGAAATATATTTTTAAAGCTAAAAAATTTACAAATTTACACTTTATTGACACTCTCAAGATTCAAAGATTGTATGAGTATTTTTTTTAATCTAATCATTTTTAACTCGCAATATTAGAAAAATATTACAAATAACGTATTGAGAATGTGAAGAAATTAAGTAATCAATGTTGAGCAATTTGTGTCACATAAAAAAAAGTAAGAAATACTCTTTCATGATAGATCTAGGGTTTAATTATAAAAAAATTTTTTTTACAATATTCATAAAAAAACACGAAAGAAATATAAAATATATATTTTAAAACCACTTTCTATAGGGAGAAAAAAAATATTATTCAAAATTTCACTTTTCATTTGTTATAAATTTTGTACAAAAATTTTTTTTTTATATTCAAACCAAATATATAATTTAATTAAATAAAAAAAAATATTTGTCTAAAAGCGAAACAAGTATTATTTCTTTATTTTTTATTTAATAATATTATTTTTTTTAAACTACGAATTCAAAAATTTACTTTGACGTGATTTTTGTCATTTACGAAAAACACTTTTTTTTAATGGGACTAACATTTGCACCATTGACGTCACATTTCATACGTGGAATTTTTTCTTAATACCATCGAAGCACGTTATCATCCGGAGGGGAATCCCCAAGAGAAACCTGTTTTCCGGGATTCCACGTTACTTTAAAATAAAAAATTCATATCATCCTTTAAAAAATCAAATCCAGAGGTTTTGCGAAATATTTCACTGATCAGATTGTTTATTAATCAAAAGCAGAAAATTAATCATCAAATCTTATTGTTCCTTATTTTCAAAAGCGGAAAATCTCTGCATTCGAATTTTCCGCTTTTTTTTTTTAAAAAAAAAAAAGGAGGAAAAATTGAATGATTCCGGTGCGAGGACTCGTTTGGGATTTAGTGACGCACGAGAAATGATTTAAACGTAACTTGTAAAAAAAATGAGTCATGGTCATTACTCTTGGCCAGCGGGTAAACCACTCTTACTTTTCTATGAAGGAAACTCCGTTTATTGCCATTCTCTCTCTCTTGTGTGTGCCAACAACACGTGCTTTGTCCCCTCCTCACTTTTATAATATGGAATAAAACTCGACACTTGTCACAAATTAAATGCTTCTGTCCCGCGCGACAAGTTGCATTTAACTTTTTTTTTTTTTTTTTTTTCACTATTCATCTCGCATCCACTTCACCCACTCGAACTAAATTTATATAAATTGTCACTATCATGGCAAATCAAAATCTATCACAACATTAAATTAAATATATCCGGAATTTTATATTGTAAATTATAAAAATTATTTTTTTCATTTGCAAAATTTGATGAATTTTTTTCAAATGAAGGAGAGTGGTAAAAAAATTAGGGAGTTAACGTTACCGGGAGTTGGGAGTTAAAATTTTCGAGTTAAAAATCAACTCAAAAAGGGAGTTAATAATTAAATTAACTCCTTACAACCAACACCCTAGGCATAAAATTAACTCGTAAAGCATTAACTCCCTTCACTTCAACTCCAAAAGGGTGGGACTTTTAAAGCATCCCCTAGGGAGATGAAATTCAACTCCTTTTTTTTTACAGTGTACAAAACTCAACAAAAAAAAATAAAATTCAAGAGTGAATTAATTTCATTTATATTTTTTTGCAGTTTTTTAAAAATGGACGCACCAGGATTCACAGAATTTGCTAGAGCAATGATAGATTACATCACAAATTATCTGGAAAACATAAGAGACAGGTAGGATTCTAATAATTATCGACATTTTGTAATTAGGTTGCAATCATTTTTTTTTTTTTTTTTTTGTAATTTGATATTTCCACTGAAAAAAAATGTATTCGCTTCAAATAATCATTTATTTAAACAATCAATTATTTATTTATTCAAATAAATATTTTTTTTATAAAATTATTATTTGAGACAATTAAAATGGTATTTGTTTCAAATAAAAAAAAAAAAATTGTTTCAAAATACTTAATTATTTAAATTAAAAAATTAAAAGATTTTAAAAAATTTATTTAACTCAAAAATTATTTGAAAATAAAAATTATTTGATTCAAGTAAATATTTATTTGATAATAATCAAGTAACAGATTATTTGAAATAAATTTTTTTCTCAGTGTACATTTATGTTAAATAATTTTTAAAATAAAAAAAAAACCAATATTTTGTTACTTAAAAAAGTCTAATTAACAAGAAAGCACTTGATTTAAAATTGTATAATAATTTAATATTAAATTAACTTTTTTTTTTTTACAAAAGAGTACTACAAAATTTACGACTTTGTTTATTAGTTTCTCATTATTTATTATTTATCTCTATATAAACAATTTTTTTAATCATTATTTTAATTATTAACTCTTAATTAGTTGTGAAATGAAGCATTTCGATCATTAATAATTTAATACTAAATTTATTATCATTATAAAAATTAATATTTTTTTTTTTAAATTAATATTAGTGAAAATAAATCATCAAAATTGGATAGTGAATGTTGTAACCTAATTAGGTACTAATTTATATATCAAGACCTTTTCTTTACACCCCCCCCCCCTTCCCCCTTCAAAAAAAGCTACAAGTTACCTATAGTTATTTCAATAAATAAAATTGTTCTATACAAAAAAAAATTTCTTTTTTCTGTTTCATTTTACAATATTTTTTCTTTAGTACCATAAAAAGAGATCTCTCTAAATAATTTTATACTCAAAATTTTTGTATATACAAAAAAATTACAGTTTTTTAAATTATTTTCGATATTAATTTATTTCAGTAAATTCTATCAAAAAAAAAAATTCTTATTTTCGTTTTATTTTTACATTATTTTTACATTAGTATATAATTTTATCGATTTTGATTTTGAAAAATTATTTGAAATCAAGGATATCGGAATACCTAGATATATATATATATATATATATTGAAGTAGCGCCCTGGGTGAAAAAAATAATTAGAAATATAAAAAGGGGGAGTGGGTGAAGGTAAAACGAAAGGAATGGAAACAACCTTGTAGTACTCTCTAACAGTTATAACCATCTGTCAATTATAAAACGACGCGTTTATCATCTTTTACCGACAACAATAGCAACAATAATTTCAATAATCATAATGGCTTATTGGAATCCCATATAGGATCTACTCTATAACACGTATATTATAATCTCCCATTACTAATGACTATTATAATAATGAGGAATTCACACAAGACAATTTTTCTTCTTTTAAACAAAAGTCGTATATAATTTTAATAATTCTATTTTTTTTTTAATTTAGTAATTAAAAGAAAGTTGAAAATAAATTATTAATTAATTAAAATTTTGAATATAGAAAATTTTTTAAAAAATTTCACCTTTTATGAATTTTATGAGAAATTTATTATTAATTTTTTGGAAATTTTTTTAGGCAAGTTCTTCCAACAGTTAAGCCAGGTTATATAAAACCATTATTACCAGATGAAGCTCCACAAACTCCAGAAAGATGGGAGGATGTTATGGCTGATATCGAGAAGATTATCATGCCCGGTGTAAGTTTTTTTTTTTTTTATTGTAAAAAATTTAATTTATTTTTCTATGGTATGTATTATTAATTTTTTATCTAACTACAATTTTCCTTTAGCAAAAATTAAGTAAATTTTCTATTTAAAAAAAAATAGAAAGTTGTCAAAGAAAAAAAGTTAAAGTAAAAAATTTCAAAATAAGCCAAAATAATAAATAAATGATTCAAAAATAAAATCAAAAAATAATTTTCTAGGTCACTCATTGGCAGAGTCCAAAATTTCATGCCTATTTTCCCACCGCACAATCTTATCCAGCAATTGTTGCTGATATGTTGAGTGGTGCAATCGCTTGCATTGGATTCACGTGGGTAAGAAAAATTTTGTTTTTTCATTTATAGAAAAATAATTACTTAACTATTGTCATAATAATTATTTTATATTATAAAAATATATAAATAATTCAATTATTAGTCATATTAGTACTAATTAATATTAACCAATTACTATAATAAATATAGTAATTAGTGATATAATTTAAATTAATATCAATTTGCCTCTATTTAGATTGCAAGTCCAGCTTGTACTGAATTAGAAGTTGTAATGTTGGATTGGCTCGGAAAAATGATTGATCTACCAAAAGAATTTTTGGCATGTAGTGGTGGAAAAGGAGGCGGTGTAATACAGGTAACAGATTTTTTTTTTTTTTTTTTTCATATTCACAAAAAATTTTATTTTAATTTAAATTTTACCAAAAAAAAAAAATTTATAGGGAACAGCAAGTGAAGCAACTTTGGTCGCACTTTTAGGTGCAAAAGTGAAAAAAGTCAAACAAATCAAAGAACAACATCCCGAATGGTCGGATTATGAAATTATCGAAAAATTAGTCGCCTATGCTTCTTGTGAGTTAATTATTCAGTTTAATAATTAAAATTATTTTAATTATCTTTTTTTTTTGATATTCTTTTTAATTAAAAATATATTATTTTTACACAAAATTTTTTTTATATAATTTTTATATTGTACAACCGGTACAACAATTAAAATTCAAAATTAATATTAATTATTAAATTTTTTGCAAATGAGAAAGAAAAAAAAAATAATAAAAAACCATAATTTATTACTGATTTAAAAAAAAAAATGGGGATAATTTACAATTGACGCACGTGTGAGATGTTAAAGGGTTTTTTGAAAAGAGTACGAGAGGGAGAGAGCACTTCATCATGGAGCACTTTATCACCATGGAAACGCGTAATAACCACTCGAGTTATTTCAACCCCGCCATTCACTTCTACACCTCCTATCACTAGGACAGTATTAAATCACAAAGTTAACAGGAGAAAGGGGTGGGGGAGGAGGTGGATTTATACATCCACTGATTGTCAACTAAGCCTCTATTCAACACTGATTTTTTTTTCCTTTTGTTTTCTTCTTTTTATTATAATGCGAAAAAAAAGAAACATTTAAGACTTGCTTTCAAACTCCTTTTTCTGAATTCAAAGGATTTTTCTCATTTTGAAACTTTATATTTTTATTTCGATTTTTTAAAAATTAAAAAAAAAAATTTTTAAATAAATTAAAAAAAAATTTTAATTAAATTAAATTAAATAATTAAAAATTATTAATTATTGATTGTTAATTATTAATTTAATTAATTAATTAATTAATTAATTTAATTAAATTTAAATTTTAAAATTCTTTTTTCATTTCCTTTTTGTTTTATCAATTTATTTACATTTTTTTTTTATTACTTAAATTCTCTTTTTATTCTATTTTAATTTTATGTTTTTTATTTGGCTTTGAAATTTTTTCGATATAAAAATAATTTTTCGCGTTAAATAAATAGAAAAAATATAAATTTTCAGGCCAGGCACACAGTTCAGTGGAGAGAGCTGGTCTATTGGGTGGTGTGAAATTTCGACTTTTGGAAACTGACTCCAAGCACAGTCTTAGAGGTGAAACATTGGAAGATGCTGTGAAGGCGGACAAAGAAAAGGGTCTTATTCCATTTTATGTAAGGAAGTATTTTTTTTTTTACCAATAATAATAATAATTGGAAGAAAATTAATTTTCTTTTTTAAACAATAAAAAAAAAAAAAATCGATTTTCGCAAAAAACATAAAAAAATCGCCCTAAGGATCATATTTCTTTTGTTTTCTCATTGCGCAATTTCATTAACGCGAAGTTGGGCAGATAAATTTTTTCTACAATGCAATTTAACCTCACTTCAGTGTTATTTTTCAATTAAAATATAATATTTTAATTAATATAAAGTTTCAAATAAAAAATGTGTGTCAATTATAGAAATAATAATAATAATAATAATAATAATAATAATAATAAAAATAATAATAATAATAGAAATTATAAACTTACCCCCATTTTACTCCTTTTTCTTCATGACCACATGCAGAGAAATTCAAAGTTTCTTTTATCTTTTTCTTTGAAATAAGTGTCACCTGCAACCAAAAAAAAAAAGTTGAAATTTAGAAAAAGGCAAAATAAAAAATTGTGACAACAAAAATTAATTCAATGAAATTAATTAATTGAAAAAATTTATTTATTTTTTTAGGCTGTTTCAACTTTGGGTACAACATCGTCATTAACATTTGACAGACTCGATGAAATGGGTCACGTATGTAATAGAGAAGAAATTTGGCTCCATGTGGATGCTGCATATGCAGGTAGAAATTATTTAAATTAAATTAAAATTATTGCAATTTAATTTTAAAAAAAAAAATTGTATTTGCTAATTAAGATTAATTTTTTTAATAAATAATTTTGAATATAGGATCAGCTTTCATTTGCCCGGAATTTCGTTATCTAATGAAAGGAATTGAAATGGCAGATTCATTTAATTTCAACCCGCATAAATGGATGCTCGTCAATTTTGATTGTTCGCCAATGTGGTTAAAGGATCCAACTTACGTTATCAATGCTTTTAACGTTGATCCTTTGTATTTAAAACACGATATGCAAGGATCGGCTCCAGACTACAGGGTAATTATATATATTTCTTAATTAATTAATAATTGATAATTTAATTTAAAAATTAATAATTAATTTATTACAATTATTAATAATTTTATATATAATAATTTATTAATAATTAAAAATTTTTATTTTCAGCATTGGCAAATTCCATTGGGTCGTCGTTTTCGATCATTAAAATTATGGTTCGTCTTACGACTGTACGGTATAGAAAATTTGCAAAAACATATTAGAAGTCATGTATCGCAGGCTCACGAATTTGAAGCATTAGTACAATCTGATTCTCGTTTTGAAATTGTCGAAGATGTTGTACTCGGATTGGTTTGTTTCCGACTCAAGGTAAATTTTACCATAATTATTTTAATACAAAAAAAAAATAGTATTTCAAAACATTTTTTTTTCTCTAATATTTTACGTGTGATTGAACATGACAGTTTCCAATCTGATAAAAAGTGATTAATTTTTTCTTTTTATTTCAACACAATTCTGATTTCATATAAATATATATATATTGTTCTCAATTGATTACAAAGAAATCATTGTTAAACAGCACAAGGACAGTATTGTAATATTTATTCTAACCTTCATGTTCACGGTTAAAAAATCTTTACCATTTTAATCATAATTTTTTTATCTCAACAATAATTTATAATTTTTAAATTCATTTTTTAATTAATTAATTAATATTTCGATTAAAAATTAATTTATTAATAATTCAAATTATTTATTTATTAAAAATTATTTCCTTTTTTTAACAGGGTTCAAATGATTTAAATGAAAATCTCCTGAAAAGAATTAATGGATCTGGTAATATTCATCTTGTACCATCGAAAATTAAAGATACATTTTTTCTACGATTGGCAGTTTGCTCAAGATTTAGCGAAAGTAAAGATATTCAATATTCATGGCAAGAAATTAAACTTCGTGCCGATGAAATACTTGAAGAGCAATCAATTTCAAAGTGATGGCGGGCGCGAATAACTCGTAGTTGCAAAGCCATTGCTCCTGATACTTGTAATCAGTCTTAAAATTCAAAAAACTCCAAAATTATTACACACAAAAAAAAAAAACAAAAAAATGAAAAAAAAACTTAAAAATAGGACGCAAAATATAAATCTGCATTTATTAATTTATTATAATTTTTTTTTCTATATTTTCCATTTAAAATGTTTGATTAATTAAGAAAATTGTTTTTTTTTAATTTTTAATTAACAGTATTATGAATTGTTATTCAATTTTCTTTTTATAAGTGTTTTAAGAATATTTTCCAATTGTACATAAACGTCAGCTAAAATAATTATTGATTGTGAATTAATTACTCTATATATGTAAATGTATTAAGAAAGTTAAGGCCACCAAAGAACATTAATTTGTTATAGTCAACGAAATTGACATCGAAAGTTATATAATATTTCTGAAATAAATTCACAATCAACTGTTTTAAATAAATTATTTTCAATTAAATGGTAACAATGAGTTTCAAAAAAATAGCTTTTTTGCAAAAAGTACATTTAATATATATATATAGTAACAAAAATTTTGTGCTTTGCAGTTAATCAAATCGAAAAAAAAATTTAGCTTCATAGATAACAAAATTCGATGTTAGTGAACAATATTTCCAATTTGTTGTTAGAGAACAAATAATCAACTGTTTAACAAAATAAATTTGGAAAAATTATCAAAAATTATTTTTTTAATTTACATTTTCAATATATAAAATTTCAGCTTCTTAATTTAATATTTTAATTAAATTTTTTATTTATATTTTATATTTCCATTCATAATTATGTTTTTATTAATTTTTTTTCTGAAAAAAAAATTAAAATTTCAATTTCTGTGTTTCATAATTATTATATGATTATATAGTTGTAAATGAATGTTGTAATATTGTAAATAAGTCTCAGTTGCGCGACTCTCTTGTGCGCAAAAAAATTGTAATCCTTCTTGTTGAACAAAGAAAAAAAAATATATTTATTTATAGAGTACATATCGACTATAATCGAGTACTCAACACAACGTTAAATACTCGTGCTGCAGCTGAGACAATAATATTTTTAGAAAAATAATTAGTCGGCACATATTTAAAAAAAAGGGGATCACTTTAAGTGATTAATTAATTTTCGAAAAGTGCAAAAAAAAATAAATTTTACACAATTGTTTTTTTTAAATCCATTTTTTTCTAATTAATTCATGTAAATGAATTTAATGCTTCTTTTAACGATTAATTAATTGCAATCAATTTAATTATAAAATTAATTCCATAGTTAATTAGTTGTAAAATTAATTCTACGATTAATTAAATATAAAATTAATTCTACAGTTAATTAATTGTAAAATTAATTCTACAGTAAATTAATAATAAAATTAATAATAAAGTTAACTATTAATGATTAAATTGTATTAATAATTGATTAAGGTAAACATAAATTTATGAGATTAATTGTTAATTAATTTTACAAGTAAATATACAGTTAATTTCATTATTTAAAAAATAATTGTAAAATAGACTTAATTAGTAATTAAATAAGAATAAAATGATAATAATTTTATCATTTAAATGTGATTCATTACATAAACGGACAAGATTCAAGTATTATGATAAAGGGACCAACGGGAAAAATGTACCTGTTGAGCTTATATTTAAAAATATATAAAGTGTTCTATATATTAAATGTGTTAAGCTCATATAAAAAATATAATAATTGTTTTAATTTGTGTTCATTAATTTAATTGTTTTCTAATATAAAAAATGTATGTCTTATCAGAAAAGTATTTTAAAAATAAAGTTGTATGGAATATTAATGTCTTCTTTTTAATCAATTTGGAAAAATAAAAAAAAAAAAAAAAAAAAAAAATTTAGAATTTTAACACTTTAGAAAATAATTGACAATAGAAAAACGTCAAACGCCGCGATGTTGTTTTACGGAATTTTGACATCTCATACTAATAACGAGAAAAAAAAGATTTGACATTTTTCAAGAAAAAAATTTATTCAACAATTGTTTAAAAATTATTTTTATGAAAAATTCTCTGTTTTAAGATTCAACAAATGAAATGCTCTGTATGAAGTCCCGCAGTAATATTTGGAGATTTCAACACTTTCTAACAAGGTTTGTAAGAACTTGTATATATAAAATATTAATTAAATTCTCATAGATATATAGTTTCATAATTTTTCACCGCAAAAAAAATCATGTATCAGAAAATTATAATTAAATGATAAAAAAAAAAAATGAAAATCAGGTTATGTAATATCATAAAGTGATTTTTTTTTTTTTCTAATGGAAAATAAATTTTTTTGGAAAAATTAAAAAAAAAAAAAAAATGATAAATTACGTGAAGATTCTTTTCATCGGACAAAGGAGGTGGTGGTAAGGATGTGCCAAAATGTGGGAATGTAAACAAATTCAATTCGTGTTCATTGGATCCATGTATGTTGGATCCATGCAAACCGGAACCAACGGTTGTGATTATTGGTGGTGGAATGGCTGGCCTTTCAGCGGCACATCGATTGGCTCAATGTGGATTGCAAAATTTCACTGTTCTTGAAGCTACTGATCGGTAATGAAAAAAAAAAGCCTATTTTTAAATTTTCTATCCATTTTTTTTCCCCAACGTTCTGTAAAAATTTGCCAAATAATTTTCTTTTTATTTTTTAGAACGGTTCTAAAAAAAAAAAAAAATTTGCCATTAATTTTCATTTCTTCTTTTTTTAGACGTTCCGCAAAAAAAAATTGTCAACAATTTTTGTTTCATTTTATTATGCAATTATTTTCTTTTTTTTTTTAGAACGATTCTGCAAAAATTTGCCAATATTTTTAATTTTCTTATTTTTTTTTGACGTTTTGGAAAAAAAATTTTGCCAGTAATTTGCATTTCTTTTTCTTCTTTTTTTTTAAGTATTCTACAAAAAATTTGACGTTTATTTTCTTTTTTTAGACGTTCATTAGGGAATAATTTTAATTTCTTTTTTTTTTTCTTTTAGGCCAGGAGGAAGAATACATTCGTGTTGGTTGGGCGATGTGGTGGCTGAAATGGGTGCAACATGGATTGAAGGAGGATGTGTGGCAAATCCGGTATTTTCCCTAGCAGCCCAAGAGGGACTTTTGAAACCACCACTTTTTCGTCCAGACGCAAGTCGAGGACTATTTTGTACCACTGATGGTCGTGCTATTGATCTTCCAGTTAGCATTACAGCTTATCATACATTTAAACAAATCGAACAACAAGCGGCTGCATTATTTTCAATTGGCTGTGGTAAAGGTCATGGATCATTATTAAATTTTATGGGCGTTCGAATACAACAGGAACTTCACAATTTTCCCGAAGAACAACGGTACATGGATCTTATTTTTATATAATCAACTTTTAAATTTTTCTTTTTCAAAACTAATTCCAATTTTCATTTGACAAAACTGTTAGTCGAATTGTTATTTAATTACACAGGCCAACAAAAATTAGCAAACTTTTTTGGTGTGGCAATTGTCAGACCTGTTTCTGATTGGTTTTTTCATGCCGAACACGAATCCGTAAACGAAAATTTCTCTAGTTTTTGAGAAAAACGGGTTTAAAATGTTCAAAAATCGCATTTTTTGCTAACTTTGAGTACCTCTAGCACTGAAATAAAAGGTCGTAGAACATTCCACTTGGGCTTAATGTTTCAACTATTATCCCCAAAAATGACTTATGTTGCACCATAACCTCAAAGTCATTTGTTATCCATTTTTGATTCGCAAATATTAATTTTGTAAAAGTTTGAGCGCGTACATCTAGTCCTTGAGGTTAAGGTGCAGCAATGTAATTTTTATGAACTACAGTCAAGGGATAAATTGAATTGAAGCTCAACAAGAAGGTTGACCTTTGGTTTTATTGACTATAGAGTTATTCAAATATTACCAAATAAGTTCTGTAGTTAAATACTGGTTACCAACAATTTTGAGGTTATTAGTGAATAATATAATTTTTAGGGCTTGTAGTCTAAAGTTCAAACTTTATTTTAAGTTCAAATAAATGGTTCTATGATCCTTTTTTCTTTGCTAGAGGTACGCGCTCAAACTTTTACAAAATTAATATTTTGCGAATCGAAAATAATAACAAATGATTTTAAGATTATGGTGCAACATAGGTCATTTTTGGGGATAATAGTTGAAACATTAAGCCTCAATTTAAGCCCAAGTGGAAGGTTCTACGACCTTTTATTTCAGTACTAGAGGTACTCAAAGTTAGCCAAAAACGCGATTTTTGAACATTTAAAACCCGTTTTTCTCAAAAAACTAGAGCATGAAAAAACATATCAAAAACAGATCTGACATTTGCCGCACCAAAATCAGTGTTGGCCTGTGTTATTAATTCTTTCAAATTCGATGAAATATATTCTGTAAAATTGATTACAGTGTAAAACGAGAGGTATTAATTTAATACCAACTTTAGGTAATAAATTGCTTTTTGGTTCCATTTTAATATCTAAAATTGGTACTTTTTTAGTACCTTCTTTTTACAGTGTAAAAATTCCAATCATTTAAAATCAAATCATTTTTCTTTTTTCAGATACGATGCAGCTCGCGTAATGTATGGATTGACAAATTGTGTACGATGTCGTTGCGGTGATGATCTCTCATTAGTGTCAGCCGATAATTTTGGTAGTTACATTGAAATTCCCGGCGGCAATGTGAGAGTACCATTGGGTTATGTTGGTGTATTGGCGCCATTATTGAGAGATTTGCCAAGTTGTGCAATTAAATATTGTAAGCCAGTGAATTGTATTAGATGGGGAGCTGTTAATGATTCATGTCCAAGAGCAGTTGTTAAAACATGTGACGGTGAAGAATTTCCCGCTGATTATGTAATTGTCACTGTTTCACTTGGTGTATTGAAACATCAACATGATAAACTTTTTTGTCCCGCATTACCAGCTGAGAAAGTTGAGGCCATTTGTAAATTGGGCTATGGTTATGTTAATAAAATTTTTCTCGAATATGCAAAACCATTTTGGGTATGGCGAGAAGGTGGAATTCGATTTGCATGGTCTGCTGATGAATTGTCCGATCGCAGTGATTGGGTTAAAGGTTAAAAAAAAAATTAAATTTTTAATTAAATAATAAATAAAAAAAAAAGGAAAAATTTTTAATACTGTATGGGGATTTTTTAGGAATATCAAACGTAGAGGAAATTGCAAGTTCGCAGCATGTGCTTTGCGCCTGGGTTTGTGGAAAGGAAGCAGCGGAAATGGAATTATGTTCAGATGAACAGGTAGTGAATTCATTAACACAGGTACTGAGAAAATTCACAGGAGATCCAACTCTTCCGTATCCGACGAATCTTCTCAGAAGTAGATGGTGTATGGACCAACATTTTGCTGGATCGTATAGCTATATGGCATTGGACAGTAAAGTCGGTCATCAATGTGACCTTGCTTCTCCCCTTCCAGGTATAAACAAAAATTAATTTTTATTTATAAAAAATTAAAAATGTGAGTTATTAATGAAATTTTTTTGAAATTTCAATTTTAAAGGAGCTTGCGAGCCAGTTGCACCAATTTTATTGTTCGCTGGGGAGGCAACAATTCCGGGACATTATAGTACGGTACATGGGGCGAGATTAAGTGGAATCCGCGAAGCAGAAAGAATAGTTCAATTAACAAAACGTTATGGTGGTCCACCGGGAAATTTAGCGGAAGCAACAGCGTCAAATTGTTCTTAAATAATAATTGTCATACATTGTAAATCGAATTTTTTTCTCAAAATACGAAATTACAATATTCCGTTATTTTTAATTAATTCCACTTTTTTGGCAAAAAATTAATTATTAAAAATATTTTTCCAAAGAAAAAAAACTGATAAATATTTATATAATTATTTTCCATATATTTTTTGTGTTTATTATATTGACAAATTTCAAAATTACAGAAATTAAACTGATTTATATAAATAGCTATAATTAGTTATAAAGAATAATAAATTAATTTATTAAAATAATAATAATAATAAATTGGGAAATAATTTAGGAAGAAACAAGGGGATTTTTTTAAAATGTTATTTCTCTTTTTTTTAAACAAGACTTAAAAATTTTTCGACTTGTTAATATCTACACTTAACAGATTAAATATCAAAATTTTCTTTTTACATTTTTCTCATATTGAAAATCAATGACATATTTTGGGAATCTTATTTCGTTTCTGATTCTCATTGAATTCGACGTCTTTTTCTTTTTCTTCTTCTTCTTCTTCTGTTTGATCAAACGATTCACTTTCACAAATTTGAATTTTAATTGCAAGCGATGATTTAATTGGAAGAATTTCTGTTGTCAATTGACTAATTTCATTCCATGCAAAATTTATATCATCCTCACGTGAAAATTCACTGCATATGACAAATCGTATCACCATTTTTTTGTGACAAGTCGCGGCAGTTACGTAAATATTTCTTCTTTGTATGAGACGATCAAAAAGTTGTATCGTAAAAGAATCGTCACCCTGTTGAGAAAAACGAAAAAAAAAAAAAATGTTATTTATTTTAAAATTTAATAAAAATAAAATGCAAATTTAAAAATAATATTTTTTTTTTACCTTTATTCTAAAGCAAACGATTGCCATAACAGCTTCAGAAACAATTTCAAATCTATCGTCAGATTTGACCTGTTTCTCAAAAAATTGTGCCAATTTTATGGAATTACGAATATATTTTTGAAGTCCCTCAACTCCGTACAATCGTAAAACGAACCACAATTTCAATGATCGAAAACGTCGAGAGAGCTGAATTTGCCAATGCTGTTTAAAAAAATAATAATATTAGTAAGATTCGATTTATTAACAAAAACAAAAAAAATTAAAAAAAAAAATTACCCTATAGTCAGGAACCAATCCTTCATTCTCGTGAGACAAATAAATTCTGTCTACATTAAACGTATCCGTGAGCCACTTTGAATCTTTAATCCTAAAAAATTATTTAAACATAATTTTCAATGAATTATTTATTCAAATAGCAATTATTAATATAATTTCATTAAAAATAAAATTTACCATAGGGCTGAACAATCAAAATTAACAAGCAACCATTTATGAGGATTAAAATCAAACGAATCGGCATATTGTACACCTGACATTAAATATCGATATTCGGGGCAAACAAACGATGCACCTGTAATTTTAAATTAATTATTAAATTAATTATTAAATTAATTATTAAATTAATTATTAAATTAATTATTAAATTAATTATTAAATTAATTATTAAATTAATATTAGTTAATTAATTTTAAAAATTAATTTTTAAAAATTAATGAATATTTACCCGCGTATGCAGCATCAATATGCAACCATATATGATGTTCATTACAAATTGGTCCAATTTCATCTAAATTATCAAAAGCACATGTACCAGTTGTGCCCAATGTTGCCACCATATAACATGGAATAAAACCATCATTTATATCTTTTTCAATGGCTTTTAATAATGTTTCTCCTCTTAAACTACATTTTTCATCAGTTGGCAATAACCTCATTGGCATTGCTCCTAAAAGTCCACTTTTCTCTGTTGAAGAATTCGATTGATCTAAAAGAGAGAGAAAAAAATTTTTTTATTTTTTTTGTCAATTTATAAAAAAAAAATTCCACTAAATTTTTCTTATTTACCAGAAGTGTAAGCAATTAATTTTGATCTAATTAGTCCTTCGTCCCAATCGGGATGCAATAATTTCATTCGTCGAACTGTTCGTTCACGTGCTGCCAATAATACGACAAATATTGTCTCACTGGCGGATGTCTAAAAAAAATTTTTTTTTTTTAAATATGAAATTTTTAAAAAATATTTGTTTTTTTTTTATTTTTTTAATTTAAAGTTTGAATTACTTGAAGAACCCCGCCTCCAGGACCTTCACTGCAATTTAAAAATTCCTTTGGCAAATCTAACAATTTTCCTAACCAATTCATAGTAACGACTTCAAGTTCAGTGCAAGCCGGCGATGAAATCCAAGAAAATCCTATACAACCGATTCCTGCACTCAACATTTCGCCCACTATTGAAGGATACGAACTTCCGGCAGGATAAAATGCGTGAAATTGTGGCGAGTGCCAATGTGTCACCTATTTTTTTTTTTTTTTTTTTTTAATTAAAAATATAATATAAAATATTAAAATTTCTTTTGAAAATTTATAATCGAAAATAAAACATACCCCTGGCATAATGACCCTCTCAATGTCCTTAAGGACATCCTGCCAGGATTCAGGTTCATTTGGTGCTTCTGTCGGTACCAATCGACTCAAATATCCTGGTTTGACACATGGAAGGACATTTCGATCCCTCAGAGTCTCATTATAATTAATTATATAATCTATCACAGCTCTACTAAAATCCCGAAATCCCTCACTGTCCATTTTCAAACAATTGTCTTTATATGAAAAATCTAAAACAAATTCTTTTTTTTTAATTTCTTTCTTTTCATTCATTTAAGTAATTAATTATCAATGAAAAATAATATGAAGAAACTAGTAATCAAAAATAATAATGTAGAAAAAAGTAATAAAAAAAATAATATAAAAAAAGTTACAATTAAAAAAAAATATATAGAAAAAAGTAAAAAATGAAATAGAAAATTTTATTGAAATATAATTACCTTCAAATAAAAACAAAAATTTGTCATCTGTACTTCCAAAAAAAATTTTCCAAACTTATTTTTGTCTCAACACCAAAAATTATCGAAAAAAATAATTTTAATCACTTTTTCTTAAATTTCTTATCCATTTCACTGAATGTAATAAAATTTTCTAAATCGATCACACAAAAAGAAAAAATCTATTTTAGTTTCCAAATTAAAAAATAAGACCGAACATTGTGAAAATCAAATGCTAACGAAAATTTCTTTCTCAAAAATAGAGAGTATATAAAAGACGATCCGAACACTAACCGTTGATCATGAAGACTGTGAGGAAATCTTACTTAAAATCTAAATTATTAACAGCATCCCATTTGGATACTTTCTTTCGTGGAAGGTGCGGTTACTCAATAAATTTAAATATAAGCCTGGTCCCTTATTTGAAGAATGTGCCAAAAAAGTCGAAAGTAAATGAAAGTCAAGAAATTCTCCTAAATTATGTGTCATTGGGTCATTACTTTCGAAAGCAGTTTGAAACCATACTAATTACAAGTTTACGATAGAATAGTGTGCAAAAAAAAAATTATTATTTTTTCTCATTTCACGTGAGCAATATTGTTTCACTATAAAAATATTCAAATGCGAGAATTAATAAAAAAAATGTATATAAAAAAGTTTTGCACAGAGACAATAATACTTTCTAATTATTTAAACATTCTTTAATGATGTAATATTCAGGATGCAAATTTTTGAATTATAAATCATTCTAATTGCTTCCTTCATTATTTTCAATAATTTACACTTTTTGCTTAACATTTACGATCAAAGGCGAAAAATTTAGTTTCAATATTACTAATTTAATACATTAAAAATTATTAATTAATTAATAATTATTAATTAATATTATTATTATTATTTATTAATTAAGTAAATTAATTAAATAAATCACTAAACAGTAAAATATAAAAAGTAGAAATAGTTTTTCGTTTGGTGATATTGAAATATTTTCTAAATTTTTTATTTTTCGATCAAAGTTAACGGGACATTTTGAATATCAAATTTTCAAATGCATCGCTTTCTATTCGTGAAAAAGACGATAAAAAGCTGACGAAAGAATTTCTTTATTTACGTTTGATATTATAGATCTATACTTATCATTATAAATTAATTTTAAACAAATTTCACTGTTAGAAAATTAAATTATATCTTTCTTTAATAAAAAATCACTTTTCAAGATAGAAAATTTTATACAAATAATTTTTATTTTCAAACTAAAAAAAAGCTTCTTACATATATTAAATAATTAAAATAATAAAAGTTTTGCTGTCCTTAAATTTGCATTATCACAAATAGCTTTTTTTTTAAATAATGTCGAGAATAAACTTAATTACTATAATCGTGTAACAATTTCGGAATTTTTAATCTATTCAACTGAGGTCTTTGTAAAGAAATAATACTTGAATTTTTGTTTTTTTTTTTTTTTTTTTCTATGAAATCTTTGGCGGCTCTTTTTCAGAATCAAGTTTAAGCCCCTCGAATTTTGTTACACTGTCCCCATTTTCTTTGGTCATTGGCTCGTCATCTAAAATTGAAATCTTCAAAGTAGGTTTAAAATTTTGTTGTACAATTTCCGAGGCCTCGCTGATAATTTCATTCCAGGCAAAGTGAATGTCTTCCTCTTTACTAAATCGACTGCAGACTACAAATCTCACTATTAATTTTTCCCGATAAGTTGCAGCGACAATATAAATTTTCTTCCTTGCCGACAATCGATCCAAAAGTTGCCTCGTCAAACTATTATCACCCTTAAGAAATAGAAGCGGAAAACAAAAATTAGTTCCAAAAGAATAGTTTAAAAAAAAAAAAAAAAAAGTTACATTTTTCTTTTTTAAATTTACCTTCATTCTAAAGCAAATGAGACCCATTGATACCTCCGTAACAATTTCAAATCGACTATCTGATTTGACAAGATTTTCAAAAATTTTAGCCAATTTTATTGTATGACGAATGTGTTTTTGAAGACCCTCAACACCATATAATCGCAACACAAACCAAAGTTTCAAAGCTCGAAAACGTCGACCAAGTGGAATTTGCCAATGCTAAAAAAAAATTTTAATTTTTTCAATCAAAAAAATTACAAATTAAATATTAAATTCTATAAAAAAAAAAAAAAAATACCCTATAATCTGGTGCCAATCCTTGTTTATCATGAGCCAAATAAATTCTATCTACATTAAAGGCATCAATTAGACAATTTGAATTTTTCACCCTGAAAAATTGAATCATTTTCCCATTATTAATTAATAATTATTAATTATTAATTATTAATTATTAATATAAATAAGTAATTTAATAAAATCTGTAAAAATTTCTATACCACATGGCTGAACAATCAAAATTAACCAGCATCCATTTGTGAGGATTGAAATTAAAAGAATCTGCATATTGAACACCTGACATCAAATATCGATATTCTGGACATATGAAGGCTGCACCTATTAAATAAATAATATTCCTCTTAAAAAAAATCTAATATTTATTATTTATCAATTCTTGATTCTTTTTTCCAAGTTGAAACGAAATTACGATGATATTACAAAAGTATAAAAAATATTACAACAGCAAAGAAAGTGCTAATGATCAGATAAAATGAAACTGATTTTGAAAATACATTTTTTAAACAAAAAAAAAACTAACCAGCGTAGGCGGCGTCAATATGTAACCATAAATGATTTTCATTGCAAATTGGACCAATTTCATTGAGATTATCAAAAGCACAAGTGCCTGTTGTTCCTAAGGTAGCGACAACATAACAAGGAATTAGACCAGCATTCATATCGTTCTTGATAGCATCCAATAAAGTGGATCCACGTAAACTACACTTATCATCTGTTGATAACAACCTCATTGGCATTGCACCCAAAAGACCACTCTTTTCTACCGAAGAATTCGACTGATCTATATATAAAGAAAAAATAATTTCTATTTATTTAATATACCAAAAATAGAATAAAAAAATTTTCAAATTCTTATTTTTAAATTAATTACGCCATAGAAATCACATATTTGGAAAATATTTTTCAAATCGATTTTCTTATATATACAGATATATAGGAGGTAAATAAATTTACCGGATGTGTATGCCACCAACTTGGATCTTATAGTTCCCTCATCCCACTCTGGATGCAAACTTTTAACACGTCTTACGGTTCTCTCTCTAGCAGCAAATAATCCGACTAAAGTAGCTTCACTCGCAGATCCCTAGGATTTGTCATTTGTTAATTAAGAAAATATTTTTTTTTTTAATTAAAAACAACATTGGCCTAAATATACTCCGAATTTTTGTCACTATATATATATAGCGGCTCGTTGGTCTAGGGGTATGATTCTCGCTTAGGGTGCGAGAGGTCCCGGGTTCAAATCCCGGACGAGCCCACTTTTTTTCTAAATTATTTTTTTTTATTCAACTTTATCGATTATTATTTAATTTACATTTATTTTTTTAATCATTCCTTTTGTTTATTACGTTTTTTTTTACATTTTTCGAGAAACTATTTTCTAATCAATAAATTTGAAAATTAAGTTTTCAAATGAAATTTTGAAATAAATTTTTTAAATTTAATTTTTAAATTTAATTTTCAAATTATATTTAAAAGAAAATCGATTACAAAAAATTGTTAACAGAAAACAAAGTAAATAATTGAAATTAATGAAATTCGAATTAAAAATTAAGATAAAAAAATAGAATAAATAAAATCAAATTAAATATCACGAAGCATAAAATTAAAAAAAAATAAATGATTTTATGTAAAACAATTACGTAACTTTGATGCCGATACTTCGAATACAAAAAAAAAAAATAATTATAATCTGCCATTTTTAAATACAGTCATTAGATTATTACGAATTTATTTGCATTTAGACAAAGATTTGAGCGCGCGCACCTGTTTCATTTATTACCACCTATTTTACACTACAAAAAAATACACAATCGTTTTTTCGACTTTTTTTTCCCATTTTTAGTGTCGAAATTTTATTGTGAATTTAATTTTCCTTCTTTTTAGTGCATAAATATTTATTACCAACTTTTTTTTAAAAAATAAACAAAAATTTACAAAAAATAAAATATATCTTTTATCTTGTAATTTTGAACCAAAATTATATTAAGAAATATCGTTAAAAAGTAATTAGGTAATTTTTTTAAATACCTGAATAACACCGCCCCCCGGGCCTTCGCTACAATTTAAATATTCCTCAGGTAAACCTAATAATTTTCCTAGCCAATTCATTGTAACAACTTCAAGTTCCGTACAAGCCGGCGATGAAATCCAAGAAAATCCAATACAACCAATACCTGCGCTCAACATTTCTCCAACAATTCCAGGATATGAATTTGCTGTTGGATAATAAGCGTGAAATCGCGGTGAATTCCAATGTGTAATCTATTGGAAAATGAAAACAAAATTTTATGTGTTTTTTTAAACACAAAACTGATGAAAAGAAATAAAGGCTAATATATATATAAAAAATTATATATAATAGCAATTAGAATGGATAGGCAAATAAATTTAATTACACCAGGCATAATGACACGTTCAACATCCTTGAGAACATCCTGCCAGGATTCTGCTTTACCTGGAGCTTCATTTGGAATCATTTGACTCAAATACCCTGGCTCAACATTTGGTAATACATTTCTCTCTCTCAAATTTTCATTATAATCAGCAATATAATCGACCATGGCTTTGGCAAAGTCACGAAACTCCTGATCATCCATTACTTAAAAAATTTATTTTCTGAAAATTTTATTATTTTTTCCAATTATTATTAATTATAAAAATATTATGTATTTTAATTATTATATTAATGCAATAGTCATCAAATTATTATAAACGGAAAAAATTATTTATCTGAAACAGCGAAACATTTCACTACAGAAGCAAAAGTTTTATTTGTTTCAATCACATCTTTCGCTATTTCAGGTAAATTTTTTTTTTTCCCTGTAATTATATATTATATTATTAATTATTATAAAGCAATAATTTTAATAATTAATTGAAAAATTAAAAATGTTTTTGAATTAAATAAAAATAAAAGCAAAATTGAAAAGTAAAAATAAATAATATTATAATTCGTATTATGTTAATACAACAAGTATAGTGACTATTCTCCTTTTTTTTTTTTCTAAAATGATCACGTGAAAGAAAATTATCAGTTTTAACTAATGAACACTAACGGAAGACTTGTTGATTCCAGAAGCATTATCCTACTAATAAATATAATAAATATTCATGAGTTGTTGGATTTTGCCAATTACTCGATAGACAAAGAGGTCTAACTAACCATTAATTACATAAGCATTTTTAAATTCTTATTTATTTATATTTACCGGATTTTTTATTTCTAATCTGAGATACTTTTCATAAATTAAAATAGTTATGTTAAATACCGTTTATATATATAAATATACAATTCCTATTTCCATATTCAACTAATTCGCTAAAACTTAGTTAATTTATTAATAATAATAATTTACACGTTTTTTGAACAATAAAAAAATAATAAATAATAATTAATCAGCTCATATAAATTAACTAACAATAAAATGTAAACTACTAAATTAATAATTTTTCAAATTATTAAAAAAAAAAACGTTTTACTCTTGCATTTTATGATTAATGTGATTCTTTCTGGAAGATGATTGCCACGGGAAATTTAATGCGAATTCATAGAAAACTTTCTCTCCTACTTTCACTACGAATTATAATCAAATTTCAAATATTACGTTACCATTATAATAATAATCAAATATAATAGATTTATCTTTACAATAAACATACAGTTTCTTTTTCAACAAAATAATATGTTTATTTATATGCTAAAGAAGAAAATTTAATTCCGGTATTACATGACGATTAATTATTTCTTATTTTCCTCATATAAATTGTGATTTTAACGAAAAAAAAAAAAGAAATTAATATTGAAACAATTATCAAGACTTGCCGACGTTATGATTTAATAAATTTAATTTGTTCTTTCATTTAATTTTAATAAAATATCTATTTTTTTTATTTTCAACTTTATTAATTATTAATAATATATTATTAAATTTTATTTAATTAACACTGTCTATTGCTGACAATAGAAAAATGAGAGAGAAAAAAAAACTCACCAAATCCGTTTGAAAAATAAACTTTTGGAAATATTTCTCACACGCGTAAGAGAACAAAACCAAAGGAGTAAAAAAGCGGAAATAAATGAATGCGACGAAAAAAAAAATATATATATTGTTCACATTAGGACATGAGTAGAGCAGGAGCAACAGTGTAATTCCACAGCATGCAACCCTTTCCTTTATATATCCCCTACTTGTTGGTACATTCATCTTCTATCTTTTATTATTTTTATCGTCACAAAGTCGACCTTGAAAAAAATCCTAGACGGAGCGGAAAACAAAGATTTTTTCGGCCCCCCCGATATATATATATATATATATATATATAGCTATATATATATTTATAGTTCGCAGTCTATCGACAATTCGTTATGTTAATTTCAATTTATTTTTCCCAACTACGAGAAATAAAAATTATTCCATCTTACACAGAGCACTGCAATTATTCAGATATGTAGAACCTGCCAGTCAAACATCAACCTTCATATTCGCGAGTATCTATACTAGACCAATAATGAGATTTACCCCCCTTTTTAGTCAATTTTTTCTTTTATAAATAACTTCTTTTATTGCGTAACTAAAAATTTGTTAAATAACAATATAATAAACTATGTAGAATCTTTAATACCATCGCTATAGTAGTTATAAATGATATTAACAATTACTGTTACCATCAATTATTGGTACAATAATTGGTATTAACAATTACTGTTACCATCAATTATTGGTACAATAATTGGTACAATAATTGGTATTAACAATAATTAGTAGCAAAAGTGATTAATACCATTGGTTCCAAAGATGATTGGTACCAATGATTACTATTACAATAGTGGTTGGTACCAATAGTTACTGTAACCAAGTATGTTTGTTACCATCAATAATGGGTACCAAACTTTGATGGTACTAACAATGATTGGTACTAGCAATTAATGATTGGTACCAACAATATTTGGTAACATCAATCATTGGTAGTAATAATTACTGTTACAATGATTGGTACCAAAAATGATTGGTACCAACAATATTTGGTATCATCAATCATTGGTATACTACTAATTACTGTTACCAACAATCATTGGTATACTACTAATTACTGTTACCAACAATTATTGGTACCATCCATTATTGGTACCAACACTATTTTGTATCATGAATATATGCTACTATCATTAATTATTGCTACCAACAATTACTGTTACCAACAATTACTGTTACCAACAATTATACCATCAATTATTGGTACCAACAACATTTAGTATCATCAATCATTGGTACCAACAATTACTGTTACCATAAATTATTGGTACCAACAATATTTGGTATCATTAATCGTTGGTACCAACAATTATTGTTACCAACAGTATTTGGTATTATCAATCATTAATACCATCAATTATTGGTACCAACAATATTTAGTATCATCAATCATTAGTACCAACAATTACTGTTACCATCAATTATTAGTACGAACAATATTTGGTATCATCAATCGTTGGTACCAACAATTAATGTTACCAACAGTATTTGGTATTATCAATCATTAATACCATCAATTATTGGTACCAACAATATTTAGTATCATCAATCATTGGTACCAACAATTACTGTTACCATAAATTATTGGTACCAACAATATTTGGTATCATCAATCGTTGGTACCAACAAATATTATTACCAACAGTATTTGGTATCATTAGTCGTTGGTATCAACAATTACTGTTACTAACAATGATTGGCACTAGCAATAATTGATTCCAATTATTGGTGTTACCAAAAATGATTGCTACCAATATTGATTGGTACCATCGATTACTATTATTAACAATGATTGGTACCAAAAATTACTGGAACCAAATATTATTGGCACGCAACATTGTTGGTACCATCAATTACTGGTACCATTAATTACTGATATCATAAATTACTGGTACCATCAATTACTGCGGTACCATCAATTACTGGTACCATCAATTACTGCGGTACCATCAATTACTGGTATCATCAATTACTGGTACCATCGATTACTTTTACTGCCAATTACCAGTAGCAACAATTATCGTTGCCTACAATGATTGGTACCAACATTTCTTATAACAAACAACTGAAATTATCACCACAGTAATAATTTATCATATAAGAATATTACAACTAATTATATACACTTACTATAATTAAACTTACCTTTTATTCTTCCAACCTTATTCACTTTATCACCTTTTTTAAAACACTGTTACTTTTCACAAAAATTTAGTGGAGCAGAAAATAAAAATTTAGAAATCCAAAACACACTATTTTGTGCGATGATTTTAAAAAAATTTTCCAAATTTTTCCGCTCTGATCATCGAAACGTGAAAAACTTTTTTGGAAACACTTGATAAGATAAATGACACTGTATAAATATTATAATTTACATTTTACAGGCATCTAAACAAAATAAATGTTAATCTCCGAATTCAAACAAAAATCATGGTCACGGTGATTCCAGATTGGTTTCGTCCAATCGAAAATCGCATTGAATTTTATATAAGTTGGACATTCTTTTTTTTTAGAGAATGTTACGTGCGCAATTCCTGGGTCAATGAACAATTTATCATTCTTTTTATTCAATATAACCAAGGTCATTGTCATACACTTGATCATGGACTCATTTCCGGAAAAAAATGCCGATTTCGGATGAAAAACATTTAATTGTTTTTATTAGCGTTATTATATAATACTGTTTTATTTAATCAACAGTTTATTAATAGTTAATTATTTTTAGAAAATCATATATGTTATATTAATTATAAAGTGAAAAAAACGTTTTAAAATGCGTAATTAAAATAATAGTTCATAGGGGTATGATTCTCGCTTAGGGTGCGCGAGGGTCCCGGGTTCAAATCCTATTTTCCAAAATTATTGCTTTCACATTAAAATACATAATTATTTAATTAATTTATGGGAATTTTGATATTATTTTTTTTTTATTTGAGTCGCATATAAAAACGCAGCGGCAGCAGTTTTTTTTAAAGTATAACAATCACGTGAAAGAAATAACGGAATGTGTGAAGCAAGAAACGTATCGTAAGTGAAATGTGACCGATTTTTTCAAGAAATCTTTTGGAGAGAATTTTTATAAATATATCGGCTCGTTGGTCTAGGGGTATGATTCTCGCTTTGGGTGCGAGAGGTCCCGGGTTCAAATCCCGGACGAGCCCAATTTTTTATTTCTTTTTAATTGAAATAATTTTTTGCCTACAATTATTTTTCTAATTCATTTATTTTTATTGAATATAAACAAATATATTAGACTAATTTTGCTTGTGATTTCGTTTATTTAAGACGAATTTTTGAATAATATATTGAAAAGATAGTATGAGACTTAATGGTCACTTAATGATCTTTCAAGAAGAAGCTCTTTCTATTGAAGCATAATGAGGATCATTACAGGTCAATGGGCAAGTGATAAAATCTAACGTCCTTTCATAATGGAATCAAGAAATATATTATATTTCAACAATCGAAATGAATGAAATTTAAAATGACTCTGAAAACTTATATCAATAAAAGTGCATCGGTAGCGGTTTTCAGTAAGAGTCACGTGAAAGGAATAACGGAATAACTGCTTGTGTTTGTATATACGTAGCAAGCATAACGTTTCGTAACTGAAATGACACAAATAAACACGATTTTTTCAACAGATCTTTTGAAGACGATTTTTATAAGTATATCGGCTCGTTGGTCTAGGGGTATGATTCTCGCTTTGGGTGCGAGAGGTCCCGGGTTCAAATCCCGGACGAGCCCACTTTTTACTTTTTTTAATCAAATTTTTCTACTTTTATCTTTTTGCCTATTACTATCTATTTTATTTCATTTCAATGATAAATAGTACGATTTTAACGCACAAAAAACAAATGTAAAAAACATTTTTAAAAAAATAAATAAATAAACATTCACAAAAATTTTATAAATTAGAAACAATATTTTTAATTTTTAATTTTTAATTTTAATTAATTATTAATTTTAAATTATTTAAATTTTTAAATAATTTAAAAATTTATATGTAAATAGTGATAAAAAGCAATTGAATTTAGAAAGGGTTTTATTGCGAAATTATAGTTTCATTTTTAGACGAGTAGAAAGTATTGTAATTTGAAATAATGAAAATGAAATAAATTCTTGCTATTTAATTCTATCAAGATTGATTATTTTCAACTCAGACTGTACTTCACTAATTTTTTATTACATAAATAAGATTGCGAAGCGATAGATTTTATTCGTCCGCTGCCGTCGCGCTTTTATGAAATCTCAAATATAACGGCTCGTTGGTCTAGGGGTATGATTCTCGCTTTGGGTGCGAGAGGTCCCGGGTTCAAATCCCGGACGAGCCCATTTTTTTTTATTTTTCAATTAATTTTTTCATTTTATTTATTATAAATTTAAAAATTAGCAATTTTTTTTATTTTTGTTTTTTAAAACCATTTAAATAAGCAAACAAATTTTTTAAACTATATAATACAAAAGTACTCACATGAAATTTTTTTTTCCAAGACTTTAAAGATGTTTTCTCGATTCTAAAAACAAAATAAAAAACAATTAATTATTTTTTTTATAGATAAATTATAAATTTTTTTTTGAATTACTCAGAAAATTAGAAAAATTTCCTATGGTAGCTATATGTATTGATGTTTCAGATAAATATTTAGCTGTTGATGTAAATATTTTATTTTCTGAAATTTTGTTTGAAAATTGAAAAAAATTTAAACATTCAATTGTCCAATTTTATTAAATTTGAAAATAAAAAGAAATTTATAAGTCTAATGCATAAAATATGTATGAGAATTTAAAAACCAGTTTGACTGCAGCATTTCTCTTTGACGTCATGATGCCATTAAAATAAAATCTAATTTTGTGTCAGAAATATAAAGTTTCATTAAACTATATCGGTTCGTTGGTCTAGGGGTATGATTCTCGCTTAGGGTGCGAGAGGTCCCGGGTTCAAATCCCGGACGAACCCATTTTTTACATACAAATTTAAATTTGCGAAATTTTTAAAGTATTTTTCAACAATATTATAGTAGAAATAATGATAATTCTTAAAAAAAACATTTTTTATTCAATTTAATTTATTTATATTTCTTTATTAATTATTTTTTCCACGTTTCATTTTTTTTACTACTTATTTATTTTTTTATTCAATATAAAAAAAACTCTATGTTCAAAAGGTATAAATATTAACTAAAAATAAATATTCAAGAAAAGTATCAGAAGCATCAGGTTTTCCTTACGTATAATAGACGAGTCTATTTTTTATATATATATATCTTCTTTTAAGATCGCATAGCTCAAACAACAAAGTAATTTTATAGCCAATAATTGTTTAACATAAAAATCTCTTATTGTAAATACGCGTGAATTACAAATACAAAAAAAGGCATTTACTGTCAATTTTCGTTTTTTCACAAAAACTGAATATTATTGAGAAATAAATTGTAGATTTTAAATTGTATACCAATTTTATTTGCATTATATCATCAATTTAAAGCAATACTTCAATTTAAATCACACTTTACAAAGAAAAATTTTATTAAATAAGAAATTTAAACAATTATTGTATTAAAGTAATTAAATTCAATTATCTTCCATATGAGGAAGATAAAAAAAAAGAATATTAAAATGATTAATAAATGATTTTAGATTTTGGATATACTATACTTATTTAAAGTGGTGCGCGATTATTGTACGAAATAACGATTGTTTTTTTCTAATAAATGCACGTAATAATAATAATAAAAATAATAATAATAAGAATAATTATTATTATTATTATTATTATTATTTAAAAAATCATCTTACTGATCAGATTTTCTTAAACAGTTATCCGGTTTAATTTTTAGTAAATATAATCTTGGGAGGAGAAGAAACTAATTTTCCAGTATTATACTTTACATTTTATTCTACTTGTATTATTACTGTATGCTATAATAGATCACAATAAAATTAGTTTCTATCTCCAATAAACGATATTACGATTATATAGTATAATAAAATGGAATAATTTTCATATTTTTTTAATAATAATTTAAAGGACTCTGTCAAATTGGGAGTTTTGGGAATTCCCAATACGGGGGCGTAGCTCAGATGGTAGAGCGCTCGCTTAGCATGCGAGAGGTACCGGGATCGATACCCGGCGCCTCCAAAATTTTTTTTTTTTTTTTTGCTCTCAATAATTATTTATCAATTGAATATTAAATAATTATTTTTTTGAAAAATTATAAACTTTCACTTTATTTGATTCAAATAATTGGTTACTTAACTGTTATCAAATATAAATATTTACTTGAACGAAATAATTTTTATTTGAATTCAATAAAACTGTATTTGAACCAATAATTTCTGTATTTGATATTTAATTGATTCAAATAATAATTATTTTGATACAAATAAATATTTATTTGATACGAATAAATATTTATTTGATACAAATAAATATTTATTTGATACGAATAAATATTTATTTGATACAAATAAATATTTATTTGATACAAATAAATATTTATTTGATACAAATAAATATTTATTTGATAATAAAGTAATCGATTATTTGAAACAAATAAATGTTTTTTATGGATAACAAAAAAAATTAAAAGGCATTAAAATAAGCTGCAACGCTTATTATTTTAATCAATTTTGGTATTAAAATAAAAAAAATTGGACTAAAATAATAAGCGTTGCAGCTTACCTTATAATTTTCTGTGAACAGATTAATGAACTATTTAAGTATTCACTAAACAATTATTTATGGATAAATTGCAAAATTATAAAAATATTTTTAAAATTCAAAAACGAAATTGTTAATTCTAAATATTTATAACAATAAAATCAATCCAAAACTAGGGAAAAATAGAGATCCTCTTATGATACAGATCAGTGTACCCCCAATCAGAGTACCCTTCAAGTCTGGTATAAAAATTCTAGGAATATAAATAAGAAAATTTTCGTCTAAAAGTAATTAGTATTTGTACCATTAAGGTACTATAAAGACACTTGAGGTCCTTAGCCCAGACTGTAAGGTTAATTAAATGAAAAACTATAATAAAAATTCGTAAGAATTAGGGAAAAAATAATACTATCTGATAGTATTGACAGAATAGAAGGTAAAGAAACTGAGTGTTAAAAAAAATGAGAAAGTTTGGGTTCATTCCAATTTTCATTTATCACATGCTGGAAATTTCTGGAACTGAATTGGAACTCTACGTTATCGTTCAAGGTCGGTAAGGAATCTTTCAATATAGGGTGACTATGTTCTTCTGAAGAAATGAAGAAATGCTACAATTAGCGGGCGCTGTGGCTTAGTTGGTTAAAGCGCCTGTCTAGTAAACAGGAGATCGAGGGTTCGAATCCCTCCGGGGCCTTGAATGTTATTTTTTCCTCTTTTTGTTTGTAAAAAATATTCATGTTAAACACAAAAATTAATAATAGATAATTTGCAAATATTTTTTTTTCCCGTAATTATTTAGCATACAAGAACACGTCAAAGCTTATCAATCACAACTTTAGTTATTAATAAATTATTTTACAGCAAAAGGATTTATCCTTGTAGGTATACAATAAATAGAAAGTATACAAATAAAATTTGTTTCGATTTTCAGTGAAAATAATTGGTACATTACTTTGCTAAATAAAATTAAAATTTCCCCTTTTTTTTTTTATTCAAGAAGAAATTTTTAAATAAACAATTCTTTTATAATTCTGAGAAATAAACGCAGATTTGCTTTTTCTTCTAAGAATTCAGCTGGTGGCAAAATTAGGAAAGAATAAGATCTACTGAGTCAGCAAATGGAAAGTCTGTAATTCACGGGAATGAGACAGTAGGGCGTGCAATTTGGGGTCGTAGAAGAAAATTGGAATTGTCGTTACGTCATGTTACTTTTATTACAATTTGTAACAAAACCTCAATTGAAAGATCCAACAAGATTGAGCGCATAGAAAAAAAAAAGTTTTCTTCTTTAATACAAAAAAATACCCTTTTTTTTATTTATGTACTAAAAATACATTTTTAATAAAAAATGGATTTAAAAAAAATCACTAAACTAAAATATTAGTTTAGTGCTAATTATATTTTTAGAATTAGTTTATGACCCAGCTTTCGCCGGGTACGAAAAAAAATTGTCTTATAGACTCATCATTTGTTCCCCTCCACGGAAATCTTTAGTAAAAGGCGAAAGATTTATACGTGTTCTGAAGGGAAACCAGAGTGACGATTATGGCTCACTGTTCCCTTTTTATATACCCTGCTGACCAACTCTCATTTGGGAGTAAAAATTCTCGACATCTGTCGACCGGTATTGGTACTAATATTTTGAACCTCGTCTCTAATTGGCCTCATGAATTATGGCGCGAAAATTTAAATTCAAAATACACGCCTTAATTGAGATTTTTCTGAATTAAATTAAACTTACTAAGAAATATGAGAAAAAAATTTAATAATTTAATATTAATAATATATTATGAGAAAATTTTTGTTATGCAACAAAGTGAAGAGATGAAAAATAAAGTATTGTTGGAAATGAATTTAAAAATTACATTTGCGATTGTACTTTTTACACCTCGAGAACGTGATTTTCGCGTTGAACGTTTCTTTTTACTGTTACGATTCAACGTTTCTTAGCCAAGATCATTTCCTGAGATCACGCATCCACTTCGTGACCCCCGGGACACACCTCCATACATACAACATCAGCTTCCACTTCGTCACTAATCTCGTAAGAAGACATACCAATAAGCGTAATTATTTCATTATTGCACACACACATATATATATATACTTAATTCATTCTTTTTTAAATTATCAATAGCGGTTACAAGACAACTAACAGGTTTTACAATTACCAGACAATAAGACTCGGATCCTGGCAGAAGAGATTATACCGCAATCTGAACTTTTTTTTTTTTTAATCTAATCTGATAAATATTTTAACAAGTCTCCTTTAAAATATTCAAATAGTAAATAATTAATCAATAATGATTTAATGAACGAATTCGAATTTAATTCATTTTTAATTTAATTTATAAAAAATAATTAACGAATTAATCATGCGAGTAATTAATAATTTTATTACAATAAAACAATTAATTACTTACAGAAAAAAAAATTTTAAGATATTGAAATAAGATGCTTTTATTTTAATACAATTTTAGCAAATTCAATTTGCCATTAATAGTGTTATGCTCCTTATTTTAACACCTTAAAATTTTCATATATTTTTATATCACAAAAATCATACTGATAAAAAATTTAACAAACAAATCAATTTTATTGAAAAAATAAAATTATGCGAGATATCTCGTATTGTATGTTGTAATTTCTACGCAAAGTCAAGGTAACAATAATTCAAATCAATTTCTAATGATTCTACATCAATTGCCGAGCCTCTCGCGAAACGAGTTTTTTTACATTGATATAGAATCTCGTTCAACTTCCCCTTCTTTTTTAAACAATATATTTTACCGTATCTTCCGGTGAATAATTTTGCATCTTAAGTAAAAAAAAAAAAAAAAAAAAAAAATCTCT